TCACGAAGCTAGTCACTAGTGAGCACAGGTAATTTGCATTACGGGGTTGTGACGATTGTTATGTTACACATTTTTGAAACCATGAATCGATCAATGTTAGACCAAGAAACCTGGAATCACTGAAAGACGGCCGTTTCGTCCTGGTATGGGACTGATCGGCAGTGCGCATCCACGACTCCTGCACCCCTAAGGATTCGAACCCAGGTATTGTAGGCGAATACCTAACCATCGGACCATTGAGCCGGTATCTACGGTGTTAATGGTGTCATTGGTTAGGCTTTCGCCTTCAATACCGAAGGTCCTGTCTTCGGATCCTGCGGGGTTCAGGAGTCGTGGATGCGCACTGCTGATGAGTCCCATACCAGGACGAAACGGCTATCCAGTGCTTCTAGGTTTCTAATGGTGGTCTAACATTGATCGATACATGGTTTCAAAAATGTGTAATTATGAATCTATCGCATTTCTAATGTATAACATTGATTCGTTTTTTTTTTGAAGATATTTAAACAAGTTAAGAGATGATTTTATAGTTCATGGAGCCTAAAGAAGAACAACACAAAAACTAGCTTCTTAAGACTGAACGATTTGATATGATCAGCTCAATTAATAAAGAGAATAACTATTACTGTAGACATAAATGACCTTATTTGCAGACATATATGTATATATATAAATATATGTGGTGTTCACTTCTAGAAATTTAATCAATATTACAGATATTGACCGTGTATGTATACGAGCAAGTGGAAGTTAGTAAATTTGGTATGATTAAACTTTAAACTCATGAGATTGATCTTTTCAAAAATATTTATCATGCCGTTTTTTTATCATACATTGTGGTAATAATCAATAATTAAATGACTGAATACTTTTTTTGAACAGAAACCAAATCTAACTTTAGTTTAATTAATAGGTTTTAGCCCTCCAGAATGTAGATGCTTTCTCGAAGTAGTGGTTGAACTATTCTATCGTGACAATTTAATCAGACTTTAATGATTGGAACACTTGTTCCTTAATGTCCTATCATATTATATGGTTCGATTGCACAATGGAAAAACCAAAAGCAGAAACTTGAAGTCGGTCCAAGGATAAAGTTGTACAGACAGCTTTGCAGAGGTTTGCCAGCACTGGGGTATTTCCTATTACGTTCACACATGTTACCTTGTCCTATTGATTTGCTTCACCAGCAGTTAAACTTTCAAAGTAAAGAAATAGCACACTGATAACTATCCCATCGATTGATTTCGACCACCTACTGATAATGCAATAAATCAACAGCAACTTAGAACTTCATACATAAATACACCAGTTCCAATTGCCATATCACATTAGCACACAGGTGTAATTGTCAATTCGAATCCCATAGTAGTAGGGGTAGTAAAGGTATTAGCAGTAATCGGAGAGATTAAGGTTCGACGATGTCATTCAAGAAGTAGAAGCTAGTGAAATAAACTCAAAAGGAAAAGATAAATGTGATGAGGAAATCTGAAGATTAGGATTTGATAGAACACAGAGAATGGATGCACCTTCTCCATTAGCAAACGGTTTTGAGTCATGTCACTCAAGATCTCTAACCATCGGTTACTATCATCTCGTGGGCCCCAACCAGGTAGTCGACACCTGCCAACATGACTCAAACCACTTGTCAGTGACTTCATGGAGTTGTGCCATGTCTTGGTCTGGCAGCCCCTAGCTTTCTTCCAACCTACTCCTACACCACAAAACATAGTTTGTCTAGGCAGTCGATGGTTAGGCAAACGTAACACGTCAACTGACGACGACTCATTACTACAACTGTTAGTTCGCCATCCTTACCTAGTGCCCGTTTCCTAATTTCAGCATTGCTTACTCGATCATCCCATGTTATACAAGCAATGTTTCGAAGATATCTGTGATCGAGTACTAGTACCCTACGAATATACTCTGTTCTTATTGACTATGTTTAACACCCACATAGTAGGACGAAGCAAGAAACTGCGCAGCACATTTATCCTTTGGTTAGCAAACGGATATCTCGCCTGCGCCAAAGGTGACACAAGTTGGCAAGAGCCAATCCTTTGTCCGTGCTGAGGTTTCCTCAGTCATCAGGCCATCAGCACTGATGAGACTCCCAAGTGAAGCGGTCAACATGCCTAACTGCTTCACTTCCTATCACTAGTTCCGGTGCCTATGCAACCCAATCTGGAAGCAACATTTTGCATTTTGAGGGGGAGAACGCATCCCGAACATGCTTGCATTGTTGGTTACGGTAGCCAGAAGACTCTGCATTTTTTCAGCGTCTTTGTCAAGTAGAACTATGTCATCGGCACATCCTAAGTCAACAAATGTATCTTTTTGTAGAAGGTCTACTGCTGAAAATTCAGACGAAGATAATGTTAAATTTAGAAGCATGTCTATGACCGAATTAAACAAGAATGGAGGAAGTGGGCATCCCTGACAGACATCACACGAAATAATCCATTCCAACGACAGTTCACCATGAGCTCTCACTTGACCAGCGGTGTTCGTGTAGAGAGCCTGCATAACGTTAATGTACTTCTCTGGTACTCCTTTTAATGACAGACAATGCCAAGGAACCTCGCGATCAACAGAGTCGAATGCCGCTCTAAGGTCGAGAAATACTACTACTGTGGGGCATCTGAACGTGTGTCTTTGTTTTAGGACCTGATGTAGTGTGAATATCTGGTCTATACAGCCAAGTCCAGGTCTGAAACCAGCCTAGTTTTCTCGAGTTTGCTCTTCATGAACTCTAGTTAGGCGTCCAAGTATTGTTGAGGCCAAAATTTAGATACTATATTACTTAAACTGATTGCTCTCTGATTGTCACAAGAGGACTTTTGTCCTTTCTCATAGACTAGGACAGTCAGTGATTGAGTCCAGTCAGATAGGTTTACGTTCAGTTTCCAGATTCGACCTAAGATCTCAGTCAATCTAACTGTTAAAACTGGACCACCATCCTTAAAAATCTCAGAGGTCCATCTATCAGGACCCACAGCTCTCCCTCGCTTCAGATTTCCAATAGCTTTCTCAACTTCATAAACAGTCGGACGAATCACGTCGATTCGCCATTCAGGATAACTGTAATTTGGTACGGGATTTTAAGAGACCAGAAATGATGTTTCGTGAGCTCAAACCGTTTGCAAGGAAGGGTTAGTCGAGATGTGTTATTAGGTGTAGAAAAGATTTGATTGTGACCAATTTGGTCTCGTGTGTTTTTACGGGTATGAGGGCGGATGTTACTTCGCGGCTGCCCACACCGTGGAAGGGTTCTGGTTGTCAGAAAGGGCATGAGCCTCATGACTTCCGAAGGAAATCGGCTTTCATCATGAGACGTCATAACTCTTCTAAGTTAAGACCTTCTAACTCCCAGAGTAGAGTATATATGGTTTGAATTATTTTCCTTGTTAGAATTTTTTTAGGGAGTTGGATTTTTGCGGGATGGAGTCACCAGCCCTCCTCCTTTATCCGGGCTTGGGACTGTCCGCTAAGTGTATTACATATCTATCAGTGATAGCTATAAATTTATATCACACTTATTTATATTATCAGAATAAAAGTATATTGATGTGCAGTCTTTCAGGGAACAGATTCTATTATAAATTCAAAGTGGGTGTAAAGTTAATGCTCCATATGAGACTATAACAAGATAAGAATTTACAACAGAACAGAAAGCTACAGTACACACCTGTTACCATCTATAAGCATGGATTTGTTTCAGTGTGACAAAAACTCGATAAAAGCTTTTCTCAGATAAGCAGCTAAATTCGCACATACCGTTAAATATCAGTGAAAAAAAGGACTTGAAATGAGTCAAACAGGAAACGTTTAACTCATAAATCCTGGCAGAGGAAATCACGTGCGCACTAACACAATTATGAACACTCGCTCAATAACTATTTGGGTTCTTCACATGTTCTGAGGATTTATTCACCTAGCGTGTTTACTTAAGACAACTGTATATTCGGACAGGTGATAACTGTTCGCTTACGGGATAAATACTAACCTGGATTCAAGTGAGAACATAATTAATTTGACTAAAATCCCGAAGAACCGTGAATACACCAAAGAAATAGAATATGCATACAGTTCTTATTTGTTTTTCAAAGTTTGTGTATTCGGAATAATCTATATCGAACATGAAATCTTGTTTTTTTCACTCCCTTTAAAAATGGACAAGAATTATGCGATCATCAAAAACCGATAGGTGAAAGTACAGAAATCTTCACGATAATTATCAGAATCATTGTAAACATAATTAAAGTATACACATTCACTGTCTTTTCCCTAGATCCTAAGTCTTAAAAATGATCATTCTGCAAACTCAGATTATCTCAAATATTATTAATATCCTTTCTACTATCTACTGATTTTGTTAATACTTCTACCACAGGAATTTGTCATCAAATTTAAAAGCGTGAGTGACTAAGAAAGGAGACTAACTTGGTATGTTTTTTACACATGAAATACATTTAATGGGAGTCAAAATCATCACCATCATCATTACCAATCACAAAATAACAAACAATAAGATTTTCTTAAAATATACATGAATATAAAACAAAACAGAGAAAAACGACGGCTGAAAAATAAAATGAATAAAATTATTTATGGTTTTTTTTACAGTAAGCAGAATAAAAATGAAAATATACTTTCTCCTCTTGAAATTGTCGTAAAAGTGTACATGTGAGAAAATGTAATACAATAAGAATAGATTTTATGAAATTGTACATGAGATAGGAAGATTTGGAAACGAACATGTGAACACATGTGAACGTCGTAATGTCATTTAAAACGAGTTTGGCATCAAATGGTAGCAGTAGTGAAAGTCAATTTCAGTTAAGAGATGTATCACCAAAAAGATTTATTGTAAAAAAAAAGATTCACAAAGGAAAAATACGAAAATAATCTTGGATTTATTGGTTTTCGATTGATTTGTGAGCGGCTGAAAAAAAAAAATTAGATGTATATACACAGATATCTTGAAAAAAATTTAGATTGTGAATAAATTGAAGATATTTACATCATAGATTTTTATGATAATTAAATAAAACTGAGTTATAATTATACGGGTAATGTCAAGTTGGTGAACACAATATTGAGATGGCAAGCTTTGGAAAGGATTAGAATTTTAATGATTACTCGAAAAAAGGCCTGAATCGTGAGCTGATCCTCAGACTATTTCATATACCCATATAAGTCAGTCAAGACCAACTTTAAGCTAGACATAAACGTAAGTGGGCCTAAATTTCCACATTATATTAGCACGAGATGAAATTAACAAAATTTATTATAGTGAACTAATCAAAGCAATTTAGAACCGATCATAATGGGAAAGATTAAACATTGCAAACTAACTTTAACCGTCTATTACTTTGAAATATTACTAGATTGACCTTCAGGCAAGTGTAGTAAAAATACAAGTTTCAGAATCTTATCAGGGCTCTCTTTAGCTGGGGTGACCTATTGACTTCATAAAAAACACAAATCCTAATGCACGTACTTTATTTAGTTTGTGAATCCGGATGGTATGATTAGCTTTCATACACAAAAATATCCTGTTCGAAGGTGAATAGGTTAGTCTAAACTTGGTAAAAATAAAATTACATTTACACTATACGTTTGCTAATAAATAATTCGATAAATGCTATGAAACTTCGAAATAGACCAGTGCAAGAAATCAAAACATTAGTTTGAATTATAAGTGATGAGTCCAAGTTGCAGCGGTAAGATAATGTGAGGTTAAAATTATAAAAGGTGGGACTTCAGGTTTTTGTAATGACTGGGAGTCAAATATTTCCAAGTTTCGGTAGACAGGAGAGATGTTAACAAAATATTAAGTTATCATTAATTTATGATGGCTTTCTTTGGTGGAATGGTTGTTTTAAGTTGCTTCTATCGAATGCGAAATTTGTTATATCAGTGAAAAAGAGCCATTGTTCGAATGGCCTGTAACTCATTGTGTAATTTAATTTCCAAGGTTTTGTAATACTCTGGCTACCGAAACTTGGAAATATTTGACTCCCAGTCATTACACGGGAGATGAAGAGCAGAGCTAACCCTCAAAAATCCTTTCATAAAAAGGCCGTGCGTGACTAGCCTCGAGCAGTTGTCTCTTGGACTCTGAGACCACGCTCCCAGGTCTCCAAGACCAACACTAATCTGTCTTACTTTTCAGGTTCCTCAAGAACACAACCTTCCACGGTGTGGGCAGCCGGGAAGTGACAACCGCCCTCATACCCGTAACAGCACACGAGACCAAATTGGTCAAAATCAAATCCTTCCTACACCCACACACACCTCTCTTCTCTCCACGACTAACTCCTCTCACATTCCTTTATCAGACTGCATCGCTAATGCAAACGTTTTGAGTTCACGAAACGTCATTCCTGGTCTCTTGAAACCTCGTTCTGGTCTACGCGTTGGAGCTTTTAATGTACGGACATTGTGTCAGATAGGGCAACAAGCTTCCTTAGCTAGGACTTTAGAATCTCGTTCCACCGAAGTATGCTGCGTCTCGGAAACGCGCATACAGGATCCAAGTGAAATTATCAATCTGATTTCACCTTGTCAAAATAAAGAAGCAGCTCGATTTACTCTTCGTGTATCTGGAAGCCCTGATGCTGCATCCAGGGGCCTCGCTGGTGTAGGTATAGCACTGAGTCGTAGGGCAGAACAATCTCTCCTTGACTGTATCCCAGTAGATAGTCGCTTGTGCGCTGTCCGACTAAACGGGACAGTAAGGACTTGGAAGGATAGGGACACTTTCCGTTGCCTCTTCGTCATATCTGCCTATGCCCCCACTGACTGCAGTTCAGACGAGGTTAAAGATGAGTTTTACAGAAAGCTTTCGGACCTCCTCCAAAAAGCTAGGCACTCTGATGTAGTAATAATGGCTGGTGACTTTAATGCTCAAGTAGGTAGACTAAGTGAAAATGAAAGACACCTAGGTCGGTGTTATGGTGTCGCGGCTCACAGAACAGACAATGGCGACCGTCTGTTGCAACTATGCTCAGACAACCGCCTATTCTTAGCAAACACTAACTTTAGGCATAAAGAAAAGGATCTGTTGACCTGGCGACCTCCAAAGTCGTCTCAACGTTGGACCCAACTAGATCACATCGCCATCAGCCATCGATGGAGGGGTTCGATAGAGGACTGTCGCTCGTTCTGGGGCACATGTTTAGATTCAGATCACGCCCTAGTGCGAGCGCGTATTTGTTTGAGGCTTACAGGGCGTAGGAAAGACACCATAAGAAAGCCTCTTAGGGTTTTCCTTAATGATAATCAAACTAAGGAGCAACTAAAAACAGAGTTAAGCAACCATGCAAGCGATTCCCATCCAGAAGCAGGTTGGTATGATATCAAAAAGGCTGTGGAAACAGCAGTGATATCTTCTAGTAAGGTAAACCATAAGGCTAGGATGAAGCCGTGGATCTCAATAGCATCTACCGAACTCATGGATGCTCGAAAACTCATCCCGCCTGGCTCTGAGGGTGACGAGGGGCGGAGTCAGCTTAGACGTAGGCTGATAAAAAGCCTACGTAACGACCGCGAACAGTGGTGGGTGGCGAAAGCGAGAGAGATGGAAAAGGCAGCGGCGATCGGCAACAGTAGACAACTTTTCCAACTTATCAAGGAAACTGGTATTAGGAATCCTAGTGTAAGTGAGACTATCTCGGAAAAGGATGGTCTTATTATCCATTCCCAATCCAGGAGACTGGGTCGATGGGCAGAACACTTTAGGGATCAGTCCAACTGGCCTCGAGCCACTCTTCAGTTACCTACGTTCTCCAGTCATCCTGAATGGCAAATCGACGTAAGTCCCCCTAGTCTTAATGACGATGAAAAAGCGTTAGGAAATCTGAAGCGAGGGCGAGCTGCAGGTCCTGATAGACTGACCACTGAGATATTAAGGATGGTTGTCCAGTTTTAGCAGCTAGGTTGACTGAGATCTTAGGTAGAATCTGGGAACTGGATGTTATCCCATCCGACTGGTTTCAATCACTGATTGTCCCAATCTATAAGAAAGGACAAAAGTCCTCTTGTGACAATCACAGGGGAATAAGTCTAACTAATATAGTATCTAAAATATTGGCCTCAGTAATACTTCGACGCTTAACGAAAGCTAGTGAAGAGGAAACTCGAGAAAACCAGGCTGGTTTTCGACCTGGACGTGGTTGTATAGACCACATTTCACACTACGACAGGTCCTGGAACACAGACACATTTAGGCGTCCTACAATAGTTGTTTTCCTGGACCTTAAGGCGGCATTTGACTCAGTGGATCGTGAGTTTCTGTGGCAGTCTGTCATTGAGAGGTGCACCAAAGAAGTACATTAACCTCATACAAGCTCTCTACTCGAACACCACTGGTCGAGTGAGAGCTTATGGCGAACTGTCAACGCAATTCTTTACTTCAAGTGGAGTCCGTCGGCGATGTCCACTCGCTCCATTCTTGTTTAATTTTATCATAGACATGCTCCTAGAAATAACCTTATCCTCGTCTGAATTTTCAGGAGTAGACCTTCTACCAGGTGGCTCACCTATTGACTTAGAATATGCCGATGACATAGTCCTACTTGGTGAAGACGCTGACAAAGTGCAGAGTCTTCTGACCATCCTCAGCAACAATGCAAGCATGTTCCGGATGCGGTTCTCATTCTCAAAATGCAAAATTCTGCTTCGAGATTGAGTTGCATCGGCACCTGAACTGGTGATAGGGAGTGAAGTAGTCGAGCGTGACAACCACTTGGGAGTCTCATCAGTGCTGATGGTCTGGTGACTGACGAAATCTCAGCACGGATACAGAAGTTTCGATTGGCTTTTGTCAAACTGCGTCACTCATGGCATAGGCGAGATATCCGTTTGCTGACTAAAGGACGAGTGTACTGCGCAGTAGTTCGCTCCGTCTTACTTTATGGCTGTGAAACATGGCCAGTGAGAGTAGAAGATATTCGTCGGTTATTGGTTTTCGATAATAGGTGTCTTCGAAGCATTGCTCGTATATCCTATGACACCCGAGTGAGCAACGCTGTTATTAGGAAACGGGTGCTACGTAAGAATGGCAGATCAATAGATGAAGTAATGAAACTTCATCAGTTGAGGTGCTGAGTATGCCTAACCACCGACTGCCTCGTCTAGCTTCGTTTTGTAGTGTAGGAATAGGTTGGAAGAAGGCTAGGGGCGGCCAAACCAAAACATGCCACAAATCCATGAAGTCATTGACGAGTGGACTTAGCCATGTCGGTAATTGTCGACTACCTGGTTGGGGTCCGCGAGATGATAATAATCGATGGTTAGAGATCTTGAATGACATGGCTCAAAACCGTTCGCAATGGCGCCCGGGGCATCTATTCTTTGTGTTCTTTCAAATTCTAATCTTCTGGATTCTCCAACCCCTCTAGTTTTGACTTTCTAAACTTTTCTCACTGAATCACACGTCTTGAATATCTTCTAATCCTAACCTTTACGATTACTTCTAATGCCTCCACTACCTCTTCTACTATTGGATTTGAATTGACAATAATATCTCTGTGCTGATGTGGTATGGCGACATGAACTGATGTACTTACGTACGAAGTTCTACGTTGCATCTGACCGACTGACTGAACACGGGAGACTAGCAAACACTGTGGAATGAAATTCCAACTTTACAAAAATTGTGTCTTATTCGGCCAGTCAGCCAGTGGCGACGTAGAATTTGGTACGTACGTACATGAACACCGGGTTTTTATATCCCATTAACGCAGTGAAACGAAAGTGTCTGGTCAAATCCCAGATTGATGAAATTCGGTAACGAATCGAGCCGAGAGTTCGTCAGACACCAAACCACCAGGACTGATGAGACTCTTAAGACAAGTGAAGCGGTCGACAAGCTTAATTACCTCTCTCATTATTTCAGGAGCCGACAAGAGGATCGCATCCTAGACATACTGACTAATTTGAAAAGAACAAATACAGCCGGAAACAAGTATAGTTAATTCATTAACTGAACACCGAAGTTCCTGTCGATTATGGATCAGTCATTTGTTCATTCGATAAGTTAAAGATTAAACTGCCTCGTACTACACACTAAATAAGGCTGCATAAAAGGTTTAAAACATACATAAAAGATAGTTGAACCAGACATACCTTTTTCCATTAACTCCCCAGCAATGCCAGCTGTACTACTCAACACTGAATCAATATCTTCCGAGTGTTCCAGAACAAACGGTCGAATCAAGTGTTGATAAATGAGCAAAGATCCATTTCGGGAGATAGGAATCATGCAATAAATTAAGAAGGCACACTGTAAGATAGAAGTAAAACAGAGAGCTTGAGGGAGTTCTATCGGTGGTTACTGTAGACAGAATTAAACAAATACATATTTTAAAAATAAAGTGACAAGCATAGCTACAAATCTTTGTCAAATTATGGTTAAGTTGAAAATGATAAGGCAGTAGAGCATCAGGCGAAAGCCATAAACGTAAGGAACGCCTTAACGTCATACGAAGAACGAATTCCCAGAATGATTGACTATGACTGATAGCATTAAGCACTCCATGCAGAGGTTTGCGTTCTAGACAGTTTATCATTATTACTTATACATATAAACCAGAAAAATTTGCAATTTAGACTTAATAACGACTAAACTCAAAATATTACCTTTATTATAGGATATAACGGTAGGTAGTAAACCATCATTGCTGTACAGGCCTCGAAAAGTTGAACAGAAGCAAAGACGACCCAGTAGGTTAGCCATTTCGTATCGTCTTCCTTTTCATGAGTTTCTATAGCTTTAACTCTAGATTTGAACATGATTTTCATTTGGACACTCACGACCGATATGCTGGATACAAAGCACCAACAAGTAGAGTAAGTATATCTGTCCCATACCCAATGACCAAGTACAACGCCAAAAAAGCAATTACTCCTTCCTAATAACGAAAAATATGGAACATACCATATGCCAAGTATAGTTTACTGATTCCGGAACGTGTTTCACACAGGCTTAAAAAGTCAGTAACCGCATTCTTTTTCTCTAAGCTCTCAGCAAACCGCACTTGATAAGACCTTAACTTCTCCATCCCGCCCTTGTGAAGTTAATGTAGTGACGGCGTAACATAAGTAAATTCCAATATACACTGTCCAATGTTTAATATTCAATATATTTTTCACGAAATAGAATAAATGAATTGATTTCTTCGCTCTCGATTCTTGTTCTTTCGGTATGATCTCGGTATTTGATAGTGTTCTACGTATGGATGTCTAGCCACTCAACTGCATTAATTCTGGTCAGCGGATATTTGTTTGTGAGTTTGAATGTCCCATGAATTGGATAAATACATTTGTTTCCGGGCAGTAGGACTTCTGGATCAAAGTAGCTACATATCCCTTTCTTTGCGGCTTGCAATCATCATTATAGTTAGAAATTCTTACGAGAATCTGTCCCCAATCTTATATTGGAAGGTATTGGTAATGAAGATCGTTGAATTATTCATATTTAAGATGATAAGAAGATAATTGAATGTTTAGTTTCTGGTCAAGTGCATTTATCTGATAATATTACGTCATAAGACTCCATGACAATCTCTCATTCAAGTCGTATTAGAGCACTTTTTAAAATTTAATTTCGAATGATTGTCTCCTTATATTTCATACCACTTTTAGTTTATATTTCCAGTAAACAGAGACATTGAAAGGCCTGTATATGGTGCTCAACTGCCGTTAATCACAAAATACTCAAACCCCCTGCATCACTGTGAGTTCCTTCTTGTTCACGTATTAACAGTTTAATAAATTTTTATTTCCCCAACTAATTAACATTCATACACTTTACTTTCTTACCTATTTATTTTAACACTATTTCAACTCATATTTTCTTCGGCTGCCTATCCTTCTTATTTCCAAACTACCTATTAACTGACCCATATCTTACAATTGATACCACTAGTTTACTTGAAAGCAGTGTGATATACTGCGTTGATATTTATTCCAACGTGTAGAAGCCACATTTATCTGGTTTGTTTGTTACATGGTACTAGTACAGAAGGTGTTTTACAACAAAGCTTAAAAAATAAAGTTTAGACTAAAAAACATTATTTCAAAGCTACCATTAAACGTAGTAGAGCCTAACATCACATGCGGCTAGGTGACAATCCCAATCTACCCATGTCTGTGGTGTAGAACATTTTGTTTGCTTACGGCTCATTACGATATAGCAGGATGTAACTTATCAATGATATTGATGTTATTTTTCCTTGTTAACCACGTCTACGACTCATTTGTGTAACTTTGAACTGGTTTCACGTCCTGTCAAGAAATCCTATTACAAGCAGATTTGGACAATTATGGTGAAAAAGAGTTCACTCACGGCTTCTTCAACTACAGTTTTAAAAAAGTCTAAATAGAATATCATGAAAAAGCATCAGATCACTATGCTTCACTATTATGTTCTATGAATTAACACTATTGCTAACAATTTAGTTCTTCTGAATTTACTCTATTCATACGAATAATTGCCCATTCGATATCTTACTAGTGAATTGTCTTCATTAACCTACATAAGTGCGGGTGAACAGTCAGTGTTCTAATACAGAAAAAGGTTTCAGTAATCATACCTTTCTAGAAATTCAAAACAGTGGTTCCCCTTGATAAATTTGAACAGATAAATGAGAAGATATATTTTGTGAGAGAGTACCATTTCATGCTTTCTCGTCAGTCACATACAAGCAACATGTTGTTTGTGTAAATACAGTTTTGAAGATAAGGTCAAAATTTCTTACTTAGCATGACATTCACTCACTAGAACCATGGTAAACAAAGATCAACATACAGTTATTTTTGAACACAAAGTTGGACTCTAAAGGCTGATTTTGGGTCAATTTGATGACCACTCATCATTAGATGTTTTGCGATGGACGAGGCTGGGTTTCTTGATCGATCTTGGGATGACGGGCTAGGTTGATGAATCATGGATTTGATTAACCATTTTGGAATATGTTCCTCTATCCTGTCTTCCAATCGGCGATCTGTTCTACCCAATTAACTTTCTCCGCAGTTACATGTGAATTAGTAAATACGGTGGGATTTGGACTGAATCGGTCTTGGAGACTTGATTGGGTTAACTGAGATCGATTGAGTTGTTGTGATAAGCCTCAGATTAGCTGCACTGAAAGTCTTTTTTATTGCAGCTGCAGTCTGTTTGGTGGTAATTTTCATGCGATGATCACCCTTGAAAGGTAACTGTAGGTACACCGGTTTCTTGGGCACATCAGTTGCTATCAGCTTCGTCTTAGTTGTGTTCTGATGACCAATAAACGTTTCGGGATATCCGTTTAATTTAAGTGTCTCAGTCATAAGCTTGAGTTCGTCGTTCAATGTATCAGCAGTGCAGATTGTACTTGCTCGAGCGAATAAAGTTTTGACAACAGAACGTTTATATTGTATGGGGCAGAAACTAGTGAAGTGGAGGTACTGTCCCGACCAGGTGGGTTTGCGGTGTACTTTTCGTCTGATTGACCCGTCTGGACGGCGATGGAGCAGGATATCGAGGAAAGCTAGTTCATTATTCTTTTCTTCCTCATAAGTGACTTTCAGATTCGGGTGAATCGCATTAAAAAAATCATTGACTTCATTAATATCTGTAGAATGTGGTAATATGACAAGAATATCGTCGACATATCGTTTGTAAAGTGTATTACCATCGATGAAGTGACTCACTTGCCTTTCTATCATTCCCATGAATATGTTTGCTAAAACAGGTCCGAGAGGACTTCCCATAGCCACTCCATCGATTAGCATCGATTGGCTTGTGTAGTTTCGGTAAGCCATACATTTCTGGTGTGCATGTACCAATGGGCTTGAGCATTTTATAATGGGTCTCGGTGATAAAACCATGAAGCATGAGTAGATGTAGTTGTCGGCATATCTGTTTTTCGACCAACTTCAAGTTATCGATCTGTGAAATGGTACTCTCCCACAAAATATGTCTTCTCATTTCTCTATTCAAATCATACCTTTGTTATATCCAAAATCATTATCTGCAGTGTGATGATTCAGCTTTCAACAAGAATATTTTCTTTTCTTCTAATCACCCCTTTCTCTTTATTTCTCTTTCTCAGCACCATATTCTAATCCGTAAATATTAGTCTGGATAATGGCCGGAGGCTTGTATACTTCACGCAGGAGCCAATGAATAATTTATCTGACAAATATGAACAACACCATTGCACATTTATTTCATCAATTCTGGATTTTCCTTGCATTGTTTCTCAGCCATTAGTGGTTCGTCGTAACTCGCGACAACTATTTCATTGCACACTGTAGAATCCATTTTGAAATCTTTGTTTTGGGAAATGAAATGTAGTGTATTTACATTTTATAGTTGTGTCTTCTATATCAAGAATGCATATGATGATATTGTGATCGCTAACTAAGAATGTTTTTCCAACATACACAGCGTTAGGAATGAGGTTGCTAGTGAAAACTAAATCCAATATATTTCTATGTTCGGTTTGGCCGTCAGCAGGTTGAGCCCACTCTCCAGGCCCTAAACATTGAATTATAGATTCAAATCGTTCAGGTGCTTTGCTTGGTAATCAAGGTTACAGACATGTTGAATTCACCACAAATAACCTTGCTTATAAAGCGTATGGATGAAGCAAACGTGAATACTTCATACGATATTCCTAGATCACCTGTTAATACGTTAGGCTGACGGTAAACATAGCCGAACAATAAGGACACTCAATTTGAGGGTTTCATTACGATGCACACAGAATCTTATAATTTGTTTACTTCAGGCATACCACATGAGAATGTGTTTAGGCTAGAGTGGGTATATATGAGGCATCGTCCACCTCATCCTTGTAAGCTATTACAGAAAATTCACTTCTGTGAACCTTGACTGCGGAAACAGTTTGAAGTCAGAGACGCGCCTTACCCAGTCCAATTTCAAAACATTAGTTTTATGGGTAAGAAAGTTTCTAGTATTAATCAAGAAAAGAATATAGACAATAACCTAAACAATATCGTACTGTTCCGATACGAAAATAACACAATGAGTTTCCAATTCTGGAAGAATGTGTCTTTCCAGTCAAGTATACGAACTTACCGCACAGGTATCGAATCCGATATGGCTGTAGCCATATTAGGTATCACCTTAAACAACACATTTACAGTTCAGAAGGAAACATACAAACTCCAATAAAAGTACAAAAAATTAGAATTACAACAAAATACTAATATTAACATCCCAAATTGGGACTAAACGGAGTATCAAAATATAGAACAGAAAGAGTCAGCAAGATCATAGCACAAAAATATACATCGAGGGATTTTCCCCAAAAACGAAGCCTTCAAAATGGATTCTACACCTATCACTTCCAAATAGATCATAGTTTTCAAGAGGTATACTTAGACCGGAAATATTACTGGTGGTCCATGCCTCAGTTATCGTTATAAGTGATGGTTGGTAAATAGTCGCAAACTTGACTAAATTCATCTTTTTATTACATATAGAACGAGCATCAAACGAACATCCCGCTAAGCTTAAATAGACGAGAGTATCTTGAGTAAAGGAGTTACTAAGCCCTACATGGGTGTGGTATGAGAGGTTAAGAGGGTACATGTTAAATAAGTTACTGAAACTTCCCAGAGGAGTTGTTAGCCTGGAGGATAGGTTGAGAACATAGACGGATTTAGATTCCTTGAGAGGAGTGATCCAATATTCTGTATGTGGTGTGAAACCGCTTGAGGTATATGTCACGTCAGAGGTACCACAAGGGTCTGTATCACAAAAAATATTGTATAGGTTGGCTGTGCAGTGCACCACTGTTTTAGTACGGTTTCGGTGATACAACTCGTAATCATGGTTATATTTATCTGGAATCGTTTCAACTTGGGGGAGTCTGCCGTCTGCAATTGTCATTTCTCGTGATTTTCTTCCCATTTGGGGATCATTTTTAGCAGCTGGCTTGGTAAGTTGGTATATAACGAGTTTTCGATCTGAGGGTTGTTACCGTTTAAAGCCTGGGTATTAAGGATAGACTTTGGTATGAATAATATTTTACTATCACATTTACTAATAACTCTAGGGTTTGGTGGTCAAGCGGTGTACCAAGTACTTGGGTAATTATTATTTATGTAAGTGTTTAGATGTTGGTCATACCTGTCCAAATTATTATTCCTGAAACTTATGGAGGTTAGGGGTACATTACATGATATCTGAGGGTTGAACCTGTTCATCGTAGTTGGAAAAGTCGCGAGTAATCTGGTTTGAATCCCATCCATTTTTTATCCGTAGCCAAGGAGTAAGGCTGTTCACTCTTCCTAGTTAAGGTTGACGAATTTTCTGATTACCCAGACGTGTTTCTTATGATAAATTCAAGTTCTTTCGGGTCCTCTTGCGCAATATATATTTTATCGATCGATTTCAACTGAATTGATGTTTCGCGGCACACATCCAAACAATTCAGTGTTCGAACAGCTTGAATTAAATATGCAGTAGTCGTTAGCTTTCTCCATGACAGTCGAGATTCTCATTTTACTGAAAGATTCAGAGTCTAAAGACTTACCAAGATATACAGGGTGATTTATCACATGTGCATTCAGTTATTGTTCTTGATCTATGCGTTTACTATTCGTTATAGCATTAGGAGTCATCTCTAGTTCATTAACAGCTGTGACAAAGCCGTGCAATCTCGTTTCCTCTCGTCTTACTTTAATGCATTCATCCATGCTATTAATATAATAGATCAATCTCATAAGTGTAGACCTGTCATGATAAGACTACCTATCCTATAAAATCTTAATTAGAATTCACACCACTATCTATACCTACTCATCTTATCGTGACAGTTGGTAGCGCACTTCCTAAGATATGTGAGTATTGGGTACAGTATGATATTGTAGATGCGAATATTGAGTTATATATTGATTAGGTGTTCCGCGTCTAATAGTTCTGCTCATACCAGAGTGTTCAATATCCATTGTAAATCTTTTCAATTACTATGCACCTAGCTTCACTGATCGTGTGGGTAAGAACCAATGCCAGTTGTTGTTGGGTTCTATCCAAGCTTCTGATATCCAACTCTGATTCCCCCAGATATGTGTTCTTCACTTCACGGTCTTCTGGGATTCCAAGTCAAATTCTACCTTATGAAGCATTTAGGATAATCCCCAAAGCATTTTCATATTGACCTTGAAAATTAGGATCTTGATCACAGTAAACAATTCTTCCGAGATATATGTATTATTCACTTGTAGAAATATTATACTGGCCTTTACGATTTGTGCCTTGATATCGATATCCGATCGTGCAAGTGTATCGCTGTTACTAGTTGGATGCATAAGGACTCTTAGTTCTTCCAGGACTTCGTCGTCAAGTGTAGTTTGATTCCTGCTCAGTATGCTGTATTTAAAGACCTTCCCATTCCAACTATGAATTCCGGGGTATATTTCTGAGAAAATGGCCGCTAAAATGGTTGTCTTAGTTCTTGTTTGGTTCCATGTGTAACTGGATGTTTTAGTTCTTCTTTATGAAGATCTATCAACTCCCAGATCATAGCTTCAATTGTTTGAACGATTGTTCCGATAAGCAATGAAACATAGAAAGCCTCCAGGTATAGTAGACAAGTTAGGTAATATCTTACTGGACAGTACCCCAAAATGATGGTGTGTTACTTATCAGGACTTTCACAGAAGGAATACCAGTCTTCTACTTCCCTCGGAAGATTTATCGAGCCCCTGGTGTAAGGCAAGTATCTAAGCCCTTTTAATGGTGACCGAGTCGAGACTGACTATGATGAACACTAAATACTAATTACTACACCATCATATTAAAAAATACGAATCCAGGGTAGAGAAAATATTTGAAGGAGAAAGTGGGCAACACAATGAGCAGCAAGTTATGAAGGATTGCAACCACGCGAAAAAAGTAGGTCGCGTGTGTTTTTGGTACAGTTAAACAAAACGATTACAATAATAAATGTTTTCTTTTCATGAATTGCGTTTCCTTCGTAGAAGTGTTCCATTAAACACTCAGGACTAATGAAGCCAAAAAACAGACAATTGTGTTGGGACAGCCGTCGAGAAGCCACCCACGCACATAGTTGATTGATGAACTTATCGATTAAATGCTTAAATATTTCAAGTGCAGTCGATCGATGAACTATTTGATTAATGTTCAAATATTTTAACGACAATATCGATTACATATATAATTGTATACATACGCAGAATATAAAAAGTTGTCACTGATCTTTGTAAACGTTCCTAAATGTTCGTAGCTAATCAAGGCATTTAACCAAGTAAGTACGTCATGAAATTAAAAAATGGGGGAATAGAGACGGTGATAGTTGAGAGGATTTTAGACAAATTGATTTGGCGAGCAATAAATAAACAACTCTGAAGTGTTGACGATCGATTTTCTCCATGGATAAATTGCCTTTAATCAATGAAGTTTTTCTGTACCGAGATTTTGGTTGCAAGTTGTTAGCGCGCTGTTTAGAACACCGTCTATTGGGATTCTTCGTTCTTTGTGTGCAATGTTTCACAAATGTCGCGGAAAACGCAACTTCCCAATATTACAGAATACTTCCACGCCATGTCGCATTAAATCTGAATCAATATCGTTCTCAGATTTTATGCAGGACACTGGTTATGGTACTAGCTCTTCTACTTTCCTTAGCCCTGGCATCACCTTGGAGAAAGATATTTTCCCAGAAAGTATAGAAGTTCATGGCTGTAGCAGTCGTAGAAACTCGTGAGTTGCTTGATTTACTTGTTCATCACTCAGTTTGCGCGGTAAGCGGCGTGTTGATATATTATCTGCCCTGATGTCGTATGAAAAATCGGAATTTATACTTCTGAAAATTCTCCGTTATCTGACAATTTATGACCGTATCACAATACTCAGTGTTTGTAAGTCGTGGTATTCATTGAAGCTGCGCTTTCCACGGCTGTTCAAAGCTGATAGGTATCATGAAAAGGTAGTAATGGTATGTTGCATATAATTTTTGAACTTATATATAGGATTTAGCAAAGGGTTTACACAGTCCGACAACTAGTCGTAAACCGTTGGGTTTAATCAACACTTTTAACCCCTGTACAATTGATAATGCAGCTGACAAGCTTGTTATGAAGGTAATAATAAATGCGCCGTAAATTTGTAAACTTGCCAAATACGATATAAACTTTTGATAAGTCATTCATTTTAGGAAGTATATCTTTAAATGCCCTCATTCACTATACTTACCTACAGCTTACTATAGGTTCTGACCTTCATTCGGACTTCTATTAAGAAATTGCCTCTGATAATGCTGCTCTATGAATGGATTCTACTCGAGATTCGCTTAAACATTTCGAAGTTGTTACCACTTGATGACGCTAAAACCCAACAATAGCAAATAGTTGCCTTTAGTTGACCACTCGAAAATCAGCTTGTTCATTTGTTTCTAGGTATGTTACTATGTGGGGGTTGATAATAGGCTTAAAGATTGAAAACACTGAATTCCAAGGCAATAGTTATGTTTTTAGATAATATTCTCCGGAAAGGTTCGTTTGTTGATACCGAAATGTTAGTTCCTACAGATTTTTCGACTTAGAATTTGGGACCAAATATTCACAAAGCCACATTTCTGTTTTTTGAACAGAAGCTCCACAGTGTTGTGATTAAATCGGATCGTCACAACGCTGAGCTTTTTCACTGATAACTGTTGACATTTCATGCGTACTTGGTTATTGCTCTTTGTTTGTTTCATCCTAAACTCTTGTTCTTCATCTTAACAATGCCTTTCCATTGTTGATCACTATAACATATTAACAGTTAGTGATATCTTGACTTTTAATGACATGTAAAATATTTGTTTTGGGATAGTAAGCTAATTCGATATACTAAATGGCTGCTAAGGTCGAGTTGTCGTTCAGAGTATAATTCTAGAAACTGATGCAGTTGAAATCAATCAGCTTATTTGAGATCATTAATCTCATTGCTGACAAAACGGTTTCTAAATAGACATTGTGACTAAACTTAGTTCATGCTTGATGCAGCTTTTTGTTTTCTAGTTAATCATTTTTTTTTTATTAAATCCCCTATTTATTATCACTAAAAGGAGTTCTTGCATGCATGCCCCGTATGCTCTGGAGTGGCGTTTTATAGACCAAATGAATGGCCGAATCGTTTGCATTGTCAAGCTCCTAATTGTGGTATCTCAGTTTGCTATAATTGTCAACGCGAGCACTCGCCCAGTGAGAAATGTCAGATAACTATAGGTTCACCAGTAAACAGGTATGATTCTTCGTATTTTTTTCCTATGAATCATTTGGAAAGTCGCATGTATTTAGAGGCCTCAACATTTACAACTGCTTTGGTGTAGTACCTAGGTAAACTATTTTCAAGTAATTATCTAACCGAACGGGTGTTTATTATTCAAGTTAAAGTGGTATTATGACAACACGTTTCCCTAAATGTTCTTTAATGAGGATACCGATAATATTTAAGCACACATAAACAAAAGGGAGTCACTACAGACAGACTTTCTGCTTGAAATAATACATTCATCAGTTCCAGGTATGTCGCGTCCTGGTTTGATGTTTCAAATATTATGAGCAAAAAGCCCCGTGTCCTAACATACACAGATTTTTAGTTAACAGGAAGTAATTTCTGATTCTAGATGCGAGTCAGAAGGAAACGTTTATGCTCATGTACTCGGAAACAGTACACACTGGAAGCATATATGACAAGAAAAGCAGTAGTCTGTCTGTTTACAGGATGATTTTTATCCTAACTAGGTAATTTCAAAACCAGTACTAGGTACGGTTGGCAAATTAATGGATGAAGTATTGAAACTTCATCAACAACTGACTACCTCGTCGAGCAATGTTTTGTGGTGTAGGAGTAGGTTGGAAGAAACCTGGGGACGGCCTAACCAAAACATGACAAATCCATGAAGTTACTGACAAGTGGACTGAGTCATATCGGTAGGTAGGGCCCTCCACATTATGCTAACCGATGGTTAGAGACCTTGGACGACATGGCTCAAAATCGCTTGCAGTGACGCAGGTGGATTCATTCTTTGTGTTCTCTAAAATTCTAATTTTATGAATTCCTCATCACCTCTTTCTGAATTAATCTCACTGAATTACTCTTCGTGAATAATTTGTTCGAACCCCAATCTTCTCCATTTCTGCTAATACTTCTACTATCTCTACCACTATGGGATTTGAACTAACAGTTGCGTCTCTGTGCTAATGTGGTATGGCAACCTGAACTGATGTACGTAGGTAACTGACTGACTGACAAAACTTGTGTGACGTAAAATAAGCAGTTTTGTTATTTCCCTAATTAAACTCTACCAACTGGCATGATACTCCTTTGTTACCCAATATAACGTAATGGATGCCCGAAAAAGGCAGCGGCGATCGGCAACAGTAGACAACTTTTCCAACTTATCAAGGAAACTGGTATTAGGAATCCTAGTGTAAGTGAGACTATCTCGGAAAAGGATGGTCTTATTATCCATTCCCAATCCAGGAGACTGGGTCGATGGGCAGAACACTTTAGGGATCAGTCCAACTGGCCTCGAGCCACTCTTCAGTTACCTACGTTCTCCAGTCATCCTGAATGGCAAATCGACGTAAGTCCCCCTAGTCTTAATGACGTTGAAAAAGCGTTAGGAAGTCTGAAGCGAGGGCGAGCTGCAGGTCCTGATAGACTGACCCCTGAGATATTTAAGGATGGTTGTCCAGTTTTAGCAGCTAGGTTGACTGAGATCTTAGGTAGAATCTGGGAACTGGATGTAATCCCATCCGACTGGTTTCAATCACTGATTGTCCCAATCTATAAGAAAGGACAAAAGTCCTTTTGTGACAATCACAGGGAAATAAGTCTAACTAATATAGTATCTAAAATATTGGCCTCAGTAATACTTCGACGCTTAACGAAACCTAGTGAAGAGGAGACTCGAGAAAACCAGGCTGGTTTTCGACCTGGACGTGGTTGTATAGACCACATTTCACACTACGACAGGTCCTGGAACACAGACACATTTAGGCGTCCTACAATAGTTGTTTTCCTGGACCTTAAGGCGGCATTTGACTCAGTGGATCGTGAGTTTCTGTGGCAGTGTCTGTCATTGAGAGGTGTACCAAAGAAGTACATTAACCTCATACAAGCTCTCTACTCGAACACCACTGGTCGAGTGAGAGCTTATGGCGAACTGTCAACGCAATTCTTTACTTCAAGTGGAGTCCGTCGGCGATGTCCACTCTCTCCATTCTTGTTTAATTTTATCATAGACATGCTCCTAGAAATAACCTTATCCTCGTCTGAATTTTCTGGAGTAGACCTTTTACCAGGTGGCTCACCTATTGACCTAGAATATGCCGATGACATAGTCCTAGTGTACTGCGCAGTAGTTCGCTCCGTCTTACTTTATGGCTGTGAAACATGGCCAATGAGAGTAGAAGATATTCGTAGGTTATTGGTTTTCGATAATAGGTGTCTTCGAAGCATTGCTCGTATATCCTATGACAACCGAGTGAGCAACGCTGTTATTAGGAAACGGGTGCTAGGTAAGAATGGCAGATCAATAGATGAAGTAATAAAACTTCATCAATTGAGTTGATTGGGACATGTGTTGCGTATGCCTAACCGCCGACTGCCTCTTCGAGCTTCGTTTTGTAGTGTAGGAATAGGTCGGAAGAAAGTTAGGGGCGGCCAAACTAAAACATGACAGAAATCCATGACGTCATTGACGAGTGGACTTAGCCATGTCGGTAATTGTCGACTACCTGGTTGGGGTCCGCGAGATGATAATAATCGATGGTTAGAGATCTTGAATGACATGGCTCAAAACCGTTCGCAATGGCGCCCGGGGCATTTATTCTTTGTGTTCTCTCAAATCCTAATCTTCTGGATTCTTCAACCCCTCTAGTTTTGACTTTCTAAACTTTTCTCACTGAATCATACGTCTTGAATACTATCTTCTAATCCTAACCTTTACGATTACTTCTAATGCCTCTACTACCTCTTCTACTATTGGATTTGAATTGACAATAATATCTCTGTGCTGATGTGGTATGGCAACATGAACTGATGTACTTACGTACGAAGTTCTACGTTGCATCTGACTGACTGAATATAACGTGCAAGATCAGATCCTTGAAATAACGACTATTACTTATCATTGAAATCCAACTGACTGAGGTGCAAAATAATTATACTCCGTGAATAAGAGCCCCATACGAATAACCTACACGTCCTGTTTTCAGCTACCGAGTCAAGTCGCCCACGACAGTATGACTCATCGATTAGTATCTCGACTACCTAACTAACTAACAAACAGTTTGAAACCTGTACCTGGTGGCATATTTATACTCGTATCTTGATGTGCATACTCCACTCACAGTCGCTAGTTTCCATCAACCTAAATCTCATTAACATCAGTCTAGTGAACTGATGGAATTGTTTCCCTAATAACAAAGGTTTAACCACGGTTGAGCCAAATACACTGAAGCCGTTCATTTCATCTGGAGTCTTCCAAAGACAATAATACGCAAAAAGTTATACCTACAATATTTGAGTGGACACAATAGAATTAATTCCCCATATTACGAAAATTTACTAACCTTTCGTAAATGTCTCACTGCTGTCAAACGTCAAATACATAGCTCTTAGGGGGACATCGATGAATTTAAGCATGACTACGTTGCTGCGCGCTGATTGGCTAATCTCCTATCCAATCAGCGCCTGATCGAATCTTGGACAACAGGGTAGAAGATTCTCGTACTGATCGGTTAAATCTAATCCATTCGATCACGTGAATTTCTATCCAGAAGTCTCTCATGTAAATGCTATAAATAGACTAACGTGTACCTGGTTTTGCCATCGCCTTCGGCTCTTATCCCATTTAACCTTTCTATTGGAATATAACCTTTTCCCTGTTCAACCATGTTTTGATTCTTAGGAACTAGTCCAGTGTATTGTGGTCAGAGAATACTAAGCAATAGGATATAGCCGGGAATTGTCCACACAAGCATTACAACAGTAGCGACACAACAAAAGCAGATAATTTATTCGTACGTTTACTAGCTGATAATGAACCTTTAAATTTACACTTCAGCATATGAAGGTTGATGCGACAGGTTTTAGAATTTCGCCTTCACTTTCATAATGTTAAACTATTGATAATATTTTATCCTTCTTAGACTATCTCCCATTCAACCTCGGACGTCCCCAATCCGCAGTCCAAGAACTCGATCCCGGCTAATGAAGGCATCTCTCCGTCGCTTGTGATTGCTTGTTCATCCTATTGTACCATAGTTCTTTCATATGTACATATTTTTTGTCACAAATTGCTGTTCATAGTCTTTATCATAGTTTATACTTGTTTTTTACCTTTTTTATAGAACTTTTTTAAAAATACACTGCAAGTAAAGCTTGATACCTACTTTTTTGACAATATTGCTTTACACATTTGAAATCATTAATCAATCATCATTGTTAGACCACCATTAGAAACCTGGAAGCACTGGACGGCCGTTTCGTCCTAGTATGGGACTCCTCAGCAGTGCGCATCCACGACTCCTGCTCCTCGCAGGATTCGAACCCGGGACCTTTGGCATTGTAGGCGAACGCCTTACCATCGGACCACTGGGCCGGCATCCAACGGTGTTAATGTCTAACTCTGATTGATCTAGGGATTTTGCGCGACCTCACCCATTTGTCTTTGGTAGTTACTGCCTACACCCGACAGGGTTGAACTCCACTGGTCACGTCTTCTCAACTAGAACTCCGAGAATTTCCTCACGAAGCTAGTCACTAGTGAGCACTGCTGAGGAGTCCCATACTAGGACGAAACGGCCGTCCAGTGCTTCCAGGTTTCTAATGGTGGTCTAACAATGATGATTGATTAATGATTTCAAATGTGTAAAAACGCAAACCTCCAAAACTGTGCCCCAATATTGCTTTAAGTATATGCTTGGGAAGTACGCTGTTGAGTGACCGTCAAGTATATCACTACACTAAATTTTTATCTGTCTTACCACCTATACTATTTGTACAACAATTCGTTGAGTCTTATGAAGGAAATGCAACTGTGGATTCAAGGATATTGTATTTATGTGATACAATCTACAATATTAGTATAGAAAATAAAATGATTATTATAATGTCAGCTGCTTATTTTCAGAACAGTTACCTAGATTAAGTCTCCGGAAGCTGGTCTTCTTATCAAATGAGCTCGAGGAGTTAGTTATTCTGATGGTGAGGTGGTAGAGTAAGATACGTCGGCACTCTGTGTCCACAAAACCCTTTTGGTCAAATTGATAGCTTGGTCGCGTACTTGTACGGCTGCTGTCGACACTGTGCTAGATATTTGACTTAGTGTCCGTGAATTTGCAGGGATTTCTGTACATTCGTTGTTTGAGTAAGAAGAATCCGTGGGTATATCTTGGTTGCACTGAGCTGGTCTTTGTCCTTGTGGCTTTTTTCGAGTTAACCTAAAAGAGGTTGGAGATGCGAAAACCCAATTTCATTTACTAAGCACAAATTTGGACAAACCAGCAAAAAACATAGGTTAGTGAGATGTGAGCGAAACAGCCTCAAAAGAACAGGATGCGCATAATCACCGTGTTAAATCACACAAAACTGAGTAAAAGACTAGCAAACAAATAATGTATTAGAATTATGCACTGCACCCATACAAATAATAGTTAAAAGCAAACTAAGATTAACGGAGATTAAAACGAAGCAATCAGTTGCAAATCTACCGTTGCTGGTAACAGCATAGATACAAACGTAGTACCTTAATAGCTCTTCACCATTTAGATTCCATGAGACAATATCGATGCCTACTTCAACTGGCGGACTGCAAATAGAAATCAAAAAATCACACGAGGAATGATTCATTCCAGAATCAATGTGAATCATAAACTCTCTTGACTTACTTTTTACAGAATTGGCGGTTCGGTATAAGAGGAATTTTCAAGGACACCTCTAAAGGAGTTGCAGTACTGTTTTAGTTTGTGTAGCCATCTTACTAGTTGAAAAGGCAGCAATACATTTTGAACATTCTAAAACCTTCCAAAGTATTTGATTACGCGAAACATCCTAATTATCGCTTAGTTATGAAACAGTGACCAAACTAACTAACCGAGTGGTCATCGGGAGTCTACAGAACTCCGCCAGTAGAACCTTAGAAGCTAATGCCGGTCCCAAGCCCGGATAAAGGAGGAGGGTTGGACATGGGGTTGGCGACCCCATTCCGTTGAAATCTCACTTGCCAAAAAAACGCTAACCAGAAAAAATAATTCAAACCATTTTAACTCTGCCCTGGGAGTTGGAAGAAGAATTATGACGTCGCGTGATGAAAGCCGAGTTCCCTCGGAAGTCACGGGGCCGATGCCTCTTCTGACAACCAGAGCAACCATTCTTTTAGGTACATGGAACGTTCGTACATTGTGGGAGACTGGAAGACTATTTCAAGTTGCGGCAGAAATGGAAAGATACAAACTCGAGGTGCTCGGCATCAGTGAAACGCATTGGACACAGGTAGGACAACTAAGACTAGCTTCAGGGGAACTGCTGTTATACTCTGGTCATGAAGAGCAAAATGCTTCACATACACAAGGAGTTGCACTGATGCTGTTCAAACATGCACAAAAGGCAATGATAGGATGGGAATCTCATGGACACAGGATCATAAAAGCATCCTTCAAGACAAAGAAAGAGGATATTACAATGAACGTCATCCAATGTTATGCACCTACCAATGACGACGTTAAAGATCAATTCTACGAAAGGCTGCAGTCAATCGTCGAGAAATGTTCCACTAAAGGATTTGACCATTCTGATAGGAGACCTGAATGCCAAGGTTGGAATGGACAACACTGGATATGAAGACATCATGGGACGACATAGACTCGGAGAAAGAAACGAAAATGGTGAGAGATTTGCAAACCTATGTGCCTTCAACAAACTGGTCATCGGTGGCACAATATTCCCGCACAAACGCGTTCACAAAGCCACATGGATTTCACCGGACCACACTACTCAAAACCAAATTGACCATATCTGTATCAACAAAACGTTCAGAAGGACCATGGAGGATGTGAGAACTAAGAGATGAGCTGATATAGCCTCAGATCACCACTTGCTGGTCGCTAAAATGAAACTAAAACTAAAGAAGCACCGGACAACGAGACAGACAACATCACAGAAGTGTAATACGGCCTTTCTTCGGGATACTGTAAAGCTCAACGAATTCAGGATAGTCCTCACCAATAGGTTCCAGGCCTTACACGATATACTCAACGGAGAGGAGGCAACATTGGAGAACAATTGGGAAGGGATTAAGGAGGCAATCACTTCAACATGTCACGAAGTTCTGGGTCATAAGAAGTACCATCATAACGAATGGATCTCTGTTGTTACTCTTGCGAAAATTGAGGAAAGGGGGAACAAGAAGGCAGCAGTGAATGTCAGCCGAACAAGAGCAGAGAAAGTTAAGGCACAAGCTGCACACACAGAAGCAAGCAGGGAAGTGAAGAGCATCAGAGCTGACAAACGAAAATATGTGGAAGATCTAGCAATGACGGCGGAAAAGGCTGCAAGAGAAGGAAACTTGAGACAATTGTACGAAACAACAAGGAAGCTGGCCGGAGATTATCGTAAACCAGAACGACCAGTGAAAAGCAAGGAAGGAAAAGCAATCAGCAACACTGAAGAACAGCGAAATGGGTGGGTAGAGCACTTTCAAGAACTCCTGAACCGACCAGCTCCACTGAACCCACCCAACATCGAAGCAGCATCCACTGACCTCCCAATTAATATTGAGGCACCTACGATTGAGGAGATCAGTATGGCCATCAGACAAATCAAGAACCGCAAAGCAGCAGGACCAGACAACATTCCAGCAGAGGCAATGAAAGCAGATGTAGAAGCAACTGCGAAAATATTTCACATCCTCTTCAAGAAGATTTGGGATGAGGAACAAGTGCCATCAGATTGGAAAGAAGGATACCTGATCAAAATACCAAAGAAAGGCGATTTCAGCAAGTGTGAGAACTACAGAGGCATCACTCTTCTTCCAATACCAGGCAGTCTTCAACAGGGTATTGTTAAACAGAATGAAGGACTTCGTAGACGTCCAACTTCGAGATCAACAAGCCGGATTTCGTAAGGATCGATCGTGTACTCACCAAATTGCTACATTACGGATCATTGTGGAACAATCAATTGAATGGAACTCACCACTCTACGTCAACTTCATCGACTACGAGAAAGCATTCGATAGCGTGGATAGGAAAACACTGTGGAGGCTTCTTCGACACTACGGTGTGCCTGAGAAAATAGTTAACATTATACGGAATTCTTATGATGGGTTCAACTGCAAAATCGTGCACGGAGGACAGCTAACAGACTCTTTCGAGGTGAAGACCGGTGTCAGGCAAGGTTGCTTACTCTCACCCTTTCTCTTTCTCCTGGTGATCGACTGGATTATAAAAACGTCAACATCTGAAGGGAAGCACGGTATCAACTGGACAGTTAAGACGGAGCTGGACGATCTGGACTTCGCAGATGACTTGGCTCTCCTATCGCACACGCAACAACAAATGCAAGAGAAGACGAACAGTGTAGCAGCAGCCTCTGCAGTAGTAGGTCTCAACATAAAGGAAAAAGCGAAATTCTCCGAGGCAGCACAACATGCACCAACCAAATCCCTCTTGATGGAGATGCCTTGGAGGACGTTAACACCTTTACATATCTTGGCAGCATCATCGACAACCAAGGTGGATCCGATGTAGATGTGAGGGCACGGATTGGCAAAGCAAGGGCTGCATTTCTACAGTTGAAAAATATCTGGAACTCCAAACAACTTTCAACCAAAACCAAAATCAGGATTTTCAATACAAATGTCAAGACAGTTCTACTGCATGGAGCGGAAACATGGAGAACTACCAAAGCCATCATCCAGAAGATACAAGTGTTTATTAACAGCTGTCTACGCAAAATACTTCGTATTCGTTGGCCAGACACCATCAACAACAACGTACTGTGGGAGAAAACAAACGAGATTCGATTGGAGGAGGAAATCAGGAAGAAGCGGTGGAAGTGGATAGGACACACTACGAAAAGCACCTAACTGAGTCACGAGACAAGCCCTCACATGGAACCCTCAAGGCAAAAGGAGAAGAGGAAGGCCAAGGAACATATTACGCCGAGAAATAGAGAAAGGTATGAGAGTGATGAACAAACATTGGACAGAACTGGAGAGGGAAGCCCAGGACAGAGTTGGTTGGAGAGAACTGGTGGGCGGCCTTTGCTCCATTGGGGGTAACAGGCGTAAGTAAGTATTTAGTCTACAGAGGTGTTGCAGTTAGTTATCGTACAGAACATAGTTTCTCGAGTCATAGGTTGCTGCTTTAATTTACATGTCACTTGTACTACGTTTAATACAAAATTATGGTTTTCACTAGTGACTTGTCATTGCGATCCCCTTCGATATGAGATAAGTTATATTCATCCAATGAATTTCGAAGTATGGTAAAATCAAAACTATGCACTGTAGCAATATTTTGAATGTTATTTATAATTTTGGAACTCACGCGTTCATGCGAGCATAATCCAATTGAAGTTTAGCAAATAAACTTGACTTCAAAAGTTCGTTTATCCGATTAAAATGTATTGAAGCCTTTGTGATACTTTTAATATTACTAAATATATATGGTGGTAGGGAACAGAAGAAATAAATACCAAACAAGTGAATTAAATTATTGCATCTTGTGTATGTTGTGAAAAGTTTAATCAGCTAAGATTTACACAAAGGAGACTTGTTTGATATCTGTTGACTTATGATGATCATGGTATTGAGTTATCTAACTGTCAAATAAAGAGAACACAGTGTAAATTAACTCTGTATTTTTAAACTTATGTAATTTACATGCACCAATAATGAGTCCCATCATATCATTGATAGTGTGGTCGGACTAAAGAGTAAGTGTTGCCAAAGTCAGGTATCATAGTTTGGGCGAGATGGTTAATCAACGGGGCTGTAAACCATGAAGCAATCAATCAGTCAGTTACAACGTAGAACTCCGTACATGAGTACATAAGTTCAAGTTGCCATACTGCATCAGCAGAGACGCAAATGTCAGTTCAAATCCCATAGTGGTAGCGATAGTGGAAGTATTAGCAGAAATGGACAAGATTAGGGTTCGAACAAATTATTCAGTGGATTAAATTTAGAACGAGAAAGATAGAAGTGATGAGGGAATTCAGGTTAGGATTTGACATAACACAAAGAATGAATGCACCTGCGCCATTGCAAACGGTTTTTAGCCATGTAATTCAGTGTCTCTAACCATCGATCACTAGGATCTTGCGGACTCAGTCCACTTGTTCGTGAGCATGGATTTGTGCCCCTAGATTTCTCCCAACCTATTCCCTACGCCGCGAAACATAGCTCGACTAGGCAGTCGGTAGTTAGGCATACGCAACACATGTCCCAACCACCTCAACTGATGAAGTTTCAATACTTCGTCTATTGACCTACCATCCTTACCTAGCACCTGTTTTCTAAAAACAGCATTGCTTACTCGGCTGTCCCACGATACACGAAACACCTATGATTGAAGACCATTAACCATACGAATATCTCCTATTCTGACTGGCCATGTTTCGTAGCCATAAAGCAGGACGGAGCGAACTGCTGCGCAGGACACTCGTCCTTTGGTTAGCAGACGGATATCTGGCCTCGCAATAAATAGTCGGATAAATTAGTTGTGTGCTTTAGGAGACTGAAGTATATAGGAGATGTATTACCAACGTCTTAAGCATTTTACTAGTTATTTGGGTGAAGGTTGTTTATCTCCTCTTACTATACTGACATAAAGTGTAACGACTATAAGCATTACATGTAAGTCACCTGATAACTTGTATTTGTCTTGTCTTTCTGGAGAGCATTTTGGTTACTGAATAAAAAAATTTAAACACATTGCAAGTTCTCAAAGTACTAATCTAACATTTCAATGTATGGTTTAAAAAAATATGATACAAGACTTACTCAAGCGCATAGTCAAGATCATAACAAGAACCACGTAACTGTGAATCTAAATGCTCAACTTTTGTCTATAATAAAGAACATTACAAAAATACAACAACTTGATGTTTTAAGATTTCTGGAGTTGATTTCCTAATATGTTCCTGAATATGAAAATAAGCCAACGAAGGTTCATTAGCGAGTGAAATCAGTAGATCAGAAATGGTTTCAGTCACTATAATCCGCATAGAGTTAAGTCCAAAGTAACTAACTACCTTTCTGACTTATTGGTTCATTTACTACATCTGTTTTGTTTAATAATTGATCCTTTTCTTAAGATATATTTAATCTGAAAATAATGGAAAATACCTTTCTTGGTTAATAGAAAGTTTGAACTTTTCTCCATTAGCGTTTACGAATCGATAGAATTTATTGATAAATGTTTTTCATGATTATTTGCAATCAAATGTCACTAAATACACAACAATCAACTGTTAATATATTGTGAATCTGAAAAAAAAATGCAAAAAATCATGATTTTATGTGAACTATGATCATTTCAAATAGATTCAAACTATGAAATTTCGGCACGAATTTAGGAACCTTGGCTGACTTTAGTTAACTTACGTCAGCAGTAGCATAGGCTAGATATATGTTAGTCAAGAAAAAGGACGTGTATACTGAGCAACAGTGCGCTCCGTTTTCCTTTAAGGTTAGGAAACACGGTCTTTTAAAAAAATAGGATGTCCGTATGTTACTACTATTTGGTTTTAGGTATCGTAGAACCATTTTTCGTGTATCTCAGGACCATCAAGTCAGCAATCCTTAGGTTTGATTCAGAGTGCAAGGAAAGGATAAAAAGTTGATCGACAAATTAGTGAATATTCATTGGTTGAGATGGTTAGGACCTCTAGGTTTCGCTCTCACAATTTCATCTCGATATGTTAATAGAGTATGGCAACTTGGAACGGTGAATAAATGTACTAAGTTCTATGCTGCGTATTGACTGACCAACAAACATTCGAGATGAGGCAACAGGACTAATTTGTGGCACTTACTAAAACGAATTGATTGTTTTGAAAAGTGAGATTGTAACAGTGTAATTCATGGAAAAAGCGGTTAGTCAGTGGAGGGACAAAACAAAAGTATGACAAGACTAGGATCAGATGTTTACGATCGCTTCTGAAATAAAAAAATTGATGAATTTACATTAACCATATTAAACTCTTATTTGACCGAGCAGTATACAAACATCGACTCTCTTCAGTACCTTTGCCCTTTAGTTAAATTACTTTTTCTAGCAACAAACACAAAGAAAACGAATAAATTCACTGGATGTATAGTTGGACTACCGATAATATTGCTGATGAATATTCCTGTGATTTACTTGGCCATCATACATGTTAGCCAATTCGTTTTAATTTGGTAATTGAATAAATTAACTTATTAGCTACTTGAGTACAAGCCATATTCTAGGCATGAGGGCTAGAGATATTACTCGAGTGCCCAAACCGAAGTAGGTAGAACGAGGTCCGAACCTAGGACTTAGGGACAGAAAGTCGAACACCTTAACCACTAAGCTACATGTTAAATACAATTACTTACAGGGATTCTGGCAGAAAGTATTACTTATTTGATTGAACTACCGATGATTTGAGAAACTATTTAGGAGTACTAAGTATGGGAGAAAAATCATAAGATCTAACTAGAGATATGAAGTGAAAGTAGTGATGTGCAGAAAACAAATATGTCACATTGTCTCACGTCTCGACTGTTTAAGGACCAGATCTACCATCAACTTATACTTGTTTATACAATGGTTTTACTACTGTTATTAGTTTGGATTATCTAGTCAGTTAAGTAAACTTGAGTCAACAGAAAGTAAGTATGCAGATTATATGGGCCTAGTAGCAAACATATTTTCGACTTAACGAGTTTGGGGAGATATGAGGTGTGTTGAAGGATAACCAACAACACTCAAAATGAGATCAAAATTTGATATGATGCTGAAGCTACAGATAGGATTAAAAAACCTTGGCATAAGTTTGGCGGTTCCTTTAGTAATAGTATCCAAAAAAGGAGGAAGGATTCATTATGAGTGAGGTACATAGACTGCACTTAAGAAAACTGTTTAAGGTAGTGATACAGACTGGTGATAAACAAACTCGTTGGAACGAGTAAAATTAGTATGGATTCACAAGCCTTTTTTACACTATCTGCAGTCTTGGAAAGGACTAATAGCTCGATTGTTTATATTGGTTCTGACGTCTCACAAGTAAAAAAATGGAATAAAGGCAACACAAAGGAAAACGTTTACGAACTTGGCTTCGCATATAGGCAACAATGCTTCGGCTTTTTCGTCAGTCTATGGTAAAGTGCAAACTTTCGCCAAAATGTCCCTATTTAGAAGAAATCTATCGGAATTCACTACTTTGATTTAGGAAGGTATGCTACTCAGTGTAAATTTGGAGAGTAAATGTAGGAACTTCCAGATACTTCTCAGTGACGGCGAAATTTCGGAGAAAATTTGCACTGCTTACCAGTGTCCGAAGAAAAATGGGATCCATTTTCGCCAATACTCACACGAAATTTTCGTCACAGTAAGCTCTAACTTCGGCTTTTGATAACTGTTTCTCCAGCCGAAAGATACACTGTTTACTGGGGCAGCGTGATCAAACGAGGAGTAGGATATGAGGTTATGTCTACAGCAAGAATAAGGGGAAAAGTGAGATGATGACTCAGTAAACACATAGAATGCACATGCACTTAATTAAGAAAGTAATCGACGACAACCATTAAAAACAATTATGAGACCAAGACAAAACGATAACTGAAACTGGGGTTCGGTAGCGTTAGGTACCTAACGCGTTACACAGTTCATAGCTAGAACTACCGCGTTTATGATACCCAATATCTTTGTCACGAGCTCCAATATCCAATATCTTCTTCACAAGCTAGTATGAACCAATTGATTTCTTTGCGTTCGATCCTTGTTTTTCGGTACGGTTCTAGGTGTTTGGTAGTGTCCAATGAGTGGGGGTCTAGTCACTCGACTGCCTAATTCTAGTCAGCTGGCAGATGTTTGTGAGTTTGCATGTCCCGTAATTTGAATGAAAAAGTTAGTTTCAGAGCAGTAGCGTTTCTGGATACAAGCAGCTATCACATTACCAGATCGGAGATAAGTTATTTGGAATGTGGAGAATAATGAGAACATTGTAATGCTAATGACTAGAAGATTTCAGAACTAAGTAAATAATAGACAATTTAGTTTACTAATTGGTAGTGGAGGATGTGCGAGAGGACTGAAGTGGAAGCAAAGAAAAGCAAGTAGAGATAATAGGTGAGAGATTAATTAGGTGATCTGAAGGGGTGGCAATAATAACGAATAGCAAGTCTCAAGACATGCATCAGGCACAACTTGTCCACGACAGAGACGATAATCCGTATGTGAGTACGTGTTTATCGAGTCTCTTCTCAAAGCTTTCCATTGAGGGGGCTGTTTTCACCTCGGCTGGGAGAGCATTCCAATTCGCAACGACTCTGAATGAGAGAACGTGTGGACAGACCTGAATGTTCGCTGTTTGATGTACAGTTTTCCGAGGGTTACCTAGAGAAACGTGCTGTTTATGCTTCAGTAGGATTCCAATGTCAGGGTGGTTTGGTGTGTTGAATATGTTGTACGCCATGATCAGATCACCTCTGATTCTCCTGTAAGTCAAGGACAACAATCCCAAATGCTGGAGAGTATCTTCTTAAGTTTTATCTTTTAGCCCTATCACCATCGTTGCTCGTCTCTGCTCTCGATCCAACAGAGTTGTCTATTTTAAGGAGACGGGGTGCGACGACGTTGTGAATATCAAGATGTAGGCACGCATTGGTCTTAAACAACGTTAAGAATAATTCTGAAGTGATAGCACCAAGGTGAAGAGTTGCATTTTCTTTGGCTGCGTCCCTTTTATAGTTCAAACTTCTGTGTAGACTTTCAGTGGTTGTTTAACCGAGATCGCGCTCTGAGGAGACATTGGGGAGCGGACTTCCATTGGGGGTTTAAATCGTTTGCGTCATGTGGGGTAGAATGTACATGACGTGATATTTCTGCTAGATTAGTTTTAAGCCCTGTTCGCTGCCCATTACTCAATAGATGTAAGTTCTTGGGATGGTGGAGAAGATTTGTAGCTCAGGTGGATGACTGTGGTGGTGGTGGTGTTTGGTTCTCTGAGCTGGTTGTTTTGGTTATGGAGCTTTCATTGTTCTTTTTGTGAACAACATCATCATCAGCACAAACTTCAGATAGAAGAAGTGAAGCATTCGAATTTCTCCACGTTTGACCTGCTAACCTCGATCTTGATTGGTTGCTGTTGACCTTAAACTTGTCGTTGTTTGCACCTTTGTTTTGATGGAATCCCCCTTTTGATCTGTTTCTTGATCTAGTGTCACCTATGATTTTCCTGATTGGTTGATAAATTGGGTCAATGTCGATGTGTTTGTTGATTGCTGATTGACCTGAGTGCCAAGCTTCTAAAAATTCTCTAGTGTTCTTTGTCCTCCCCCTACCCAGTATTTCCACATTGTTCCAATCAAATGTGTGTCCATAATTGTCGGTGTGTATTGATATAAGCGAAGAGTTGTCGTGGCGTTTGACTGCTAATTGATGTTCACGTAAACGAAGCTGAAGAGGCCGTCCACTTTGTCCTATGTAGTGTTTTTCACAGTCTGAGCAATTTATTTTGTAGATGATATTTGGTTTTTCTTCCTTTGTCATTTTGTCCTTTAGTCTACGTAGGATTGATTGAAGTGATGCTGTCGGTTTGTGTGCCACACCTATTCTAAATGGTTTCAGTAGCCGTGCTGTATTCTTCGAATGCTTCACTTCTATCTGAAGTTTGTGCTGATGATGTTGTTCAGAAGAACAATGAAAGCTCCACAACCAAAACACCCAGCTCAGATAACCAAACACCACCACCACAGATGTAAGTTCCTTTTGAAGCTCTGTCGGATTCTCTTCTCTTCTGATGGACGTCCAGATTTTTGCATCGTCTGCGTAGATCAATGCCGACGAGCTATCTTAGCCGGACAGGTTGGTAATGAATATCAGTAAAAGAAGTGGACCTGAGATGGTCCCCTGTGAAACATCCGATGTTGAGATTCGCCAACTAGAGTGAACTCTATTTACCTTGGTACGAAACTTTCTGTTCTCATGGTAGTATCTGAGCCAAGATAGGAGTGGGTCAGTGAAGCCCATTTCCACGACCTTCGAGATTAGGTCTGCATGGATTACTGTGTCGTAGGCTTTTGCAAAGTTGGGAAGTAGTATGTGCACCGGTATTTTTGGTCCATGCAGGATGTCCAACTGTCCTATGATATGAGAATATTGGATGCGCACAACCTGCCTTTCCGTGTTGAGCTTAGTGGAGGGTTTTGTTCTTATCCATATGCTCCGTCATCTATTCGTTGACCGGCCTTTTCAATACCTTTGATAGTATTGGTAGTGATGCGACTGGTCTGTAACAGGTTGGATTCTTCCTATCTCCTCCTTTGAAGATAGGAGACAGTAGCTTGTTTCCACTCAAATGGGAGTAGGTGTGACTGCAGTGAATGTCTGAACAGTTTACATATCGGAGAACGGAGAGCTTCTGCACAACGTTTCCAGACTATAGGGCGAGAATTGTCACAACCTGGTGACTTTCCTGGGCGTAAGCACTGCTGTTTCCACAGCCTTTTTGATAACATACCAACCTGCTCCTGGATGGAAATCGCTTACATGGTTGCTTAACTCTGTTTCTAGTCGCTCCTGAAATATCTTGTTAGTTTGATTATCATTAAGTAAAACCTTCAGAGGCTTTCTCATGGTGTCTTTCCTACGCCCTATAAGCCTCAAACAAATACGAGCTCGCACTAGAGCATGATCTGAATCTAAACATGTGCCCCAGAACGAGCGCCAGTCCTCTATCGAACCCCTCCATCGATGGCTGATGGCGATGTGATCTAGTTGGGTCCAACGTTGAGACGACTTCGGGGGTCGCCAGGTCAACAGATCCTTTCCTTTATGCCTAAAGTTAGTGTTTGCTAAGAATAGGCGGTTATCTGAGCATAGTTGCAACAGACGGTCACCATTGTCTGTTCTGTGAGCCGCGACACCATAACATCGACCTAGGTGTCTTTCATTTTCACTTAGTCTACCTACTTGAGCATTAAAGTCACCAGCCATTATTACTACATCAGAGTGCCTAGCTTTTTGGAGGAGGTCCGAAAGCTTTCTGTAAAACTCATCTTTAACCTCGTCTGAACTGCAGTCAGTTGGGGCACAGGCAGATATGACGAAGAGGCAACGGAAAGTGTCCCCATCCTTCCGAGTTCTTACTGTCCCGTTTAGTCGGACAGTGCACAAGTGACTATCTACTGATATCCAGTCAAGGAGAGATTGTTCTGCCCGGGGATTCAATGCTATACCTACACCAGAGAGGCCGCTGGAAGCAGCATCAGGGCTTCCGGATACACGAAGAGTAAATCGAGCTGCTTCTTTATTTTGACAAGGTGAAATCAGATTGATAATTTCACTAGGATCCTGTATGCGCGTTTCCGAGACGCAGCATACATCAATGGCACGAGATTCTAAAGTCCTAGCTAAGGAAGCTTGTTGCCCTATTTGACACAATGTCCGTACATTTAAAGCTCCAACATGTAGACTAGAACGAGGTTTCAAGAGACCAGGAATGACGTTTCGTGAACTCACATCGTTTGCATTAGCGGTGCATTGTGATAAAGGCATGTGAGAGGAGTTAGTCGTGGAGAGAAGAGAGGTGTGTGTGGGTGTAGGAAGGATTTGATTTTGACCTGGATGCGTGACCGCAGAGTCCAAGGGACAACTGCTTGATGCCGGTCACACAAGACCTTTTTATGAGAAGTTTTTTGAGTGTTAGCTCCGCTCTAAAAGCCCCTAGTGGGCACCCTTACCGTGAGAGATGGAAATCCGTGAGGTAGGGTGAGGTGTGACATTTCTAGGGTTGACCTTTTCTAACCCCCTTCCTTCCTTGTGAGAAGGAAGCATCGCTGCAGATGCTGGTTGTTCGAGGGAAACACCTTACTGCCGTCACAACCCTCCATCACAGTCAGCAGTACGAATTCGCCCTCAGACATTGAGTAGCTGCTTTTAGTCCGATCGTTCTCCAATCGACCTGCCTGGCATGGTAGAACCTACAGGAACATATGTTCCAGCCAGTGTAGCTCGGCTGGATCATGACGATAGTCAAGCCCGACCACCACGTCAAGGTAGCAGCTACGGTCGGGAAGTGTATCCAGTGGATAGAAAGGAAGTTGGAGTAAGAAGCTGGATGTCTGTACATTGAGACCGTAAGCCCAGTGAGAAGAGTAAGGTTTGTAAAGATTAGTGATAATTATATTTTTGATCGTCTTTTTATCAGAAACTAACCCTGAGTCCTACTGTAGGTGCCCGTGTAAGCAAACAAACCTTCCAGCAATCAGATTACAATACAACGAACTATTGTCTACATGAAGTAAGGAAGTAAGCAAATACTCCAAATTAATTTTTCGAACTCTAATGAGGCAAATTCGAACAAATTTTATCCACCTAACTTAGGCTGTTTTAGCCCTATATTTATCCCACCTGACAAAGTAGATAGCATGTGTAAAGGAATTGAAAGTAGCCGATTTCTTGACGTTTAACGTTAGTAGAATATCAAGCTGGCGTGTTAGTACACAGGAACTATATCAATAGCATTACGTCTATCAACGCACTAATTTTTCTCATGAAAATGAATCGTGCACGCAACCAGCTGCATTTAAACAGTCACCCATATGTTTGAAGACTATTACACCCCACAGATCAAGAAATAAAATAGTCTCTACTGCGTGTCTACCTACAAGTAGTACCAAATTTTATCAAAGGTGACTGAGAGCAGTACATGCACTCATATTTAAAAATTGAGCAAGAGAAGCGTCGTCGCAGCCGATGGCGAATTCCAGGCTTTGACAGCTTATTGAGGTAAGGTGTGCCTGTAGTCCGTTCTGTTATGCTGTACCTTTATTTCTAAATATAGCCTGCGAGATTTTCGAGCATAAAAATTATTAAGGATGGTGTCCAGGCGTGACTGGCATTATATAAGTCATTGTAAGGTCATGACTGAGACGCCCACACTCTAACAAGTAAAGATCCAGTGGTTCGTGTTTGTTTTTATAAGGTTTAAACTCCAGTCCTTGTACTGACTTTGTAGCTCTGCTTGGTCTGGACATACATAGAAGGAGAAGCAAGATTCTGCGATGCAACATAACATTCACCAAACAAATCACTCATGATGGAGGTGCCTTGGAGGACGTAAAAACCTTCACATATCTGGGAAGCACCATTGATAAGCAAGGTGGATCTAATGAAGATATGAAGGAGCGGATCGGCAAAGAAAGAACATCATTTCTACAACTGACGAACATCTGGAACTCAAAACAACTATTAACCGACACCAAAATCAGAATTTTAAATACAAATGTCGAGACAATTCTACTGTGTGGGGCTGAAAGTTGGAAAACTACCAAAACCATCATCCAGAAGTTCCAATATTTATTAACAGTTGTATACGCTAAAAACTTTGCATTCGTTAGCCAGACACTATTGGCAACAACCTACTGCGGGCGAGAACGAAGCAGATTCCAGCGAAAAAAGAAACTAGGAAGAAGCGCTGAAAGTGGACAGGACGCACATTGAGCAAAGCACCAAACTGAGAAAAAAGACAAGCCTTCACTTGGAATCTTGTGGAAAAGAGGGAGGCCAAGGAACACACTACGCCGAGAAATGTTGGCAGACATGAGAAGAATGGACAAAAATTGGACAGAACTGGAAAGAGAAGCCCAAGACAGAGTAGGTTGGAGGATTTTGGTCGGCGGCCTATGCTCCATTGGGGGTAACAGGCGTAAGTTAGTAATGATGAATGCTGTTTGATAATAACAACGATAGAAATAGTGGTAAATCTTATTCTCAAATACCAGTGTGTTAAATACGGCAGACACGATCAATTTTTTACAAATGTTGCCACATTTTCTGCAATAAGTTGCTCATTTAAATTGATATATTACAAGATACACTGGTCATGACCATACCATATAAAATTGTAAAGAACGTTTAAGATATTTGACCTCAATCATGTACGTTGCATTACAACAAAAGAATGTTCGTCATAAACTGTTGCCAGTTATGAATAGACCTTTATATAACAAGAACTGGTGAGGTAAGTGTATACTGATCTTCTTGATGGCATTCTCTAGAAAAACACATAACAGAACATGAATGTCAAAGATTGAATAGACATACAGAATGTTATGGGAAAGGCACAGTGATATGCACTAGTGATATCTCTGTTTTTACTTTTTGCTATTACTACCATGAAGTCACGAGTGAACTCCTTTTTAACGCAGTTGCACAGGTCAGCTTGTAAAAGGATTTCTTAGTGGGAAGTGAAATCAGTCCTAATTTGAAAAAAGAATCAAAGATGTAGTTGGGATGGAAAATTAACATTACTATCATTTATTGGTTACATCAGCTACATTCTGCCATATCGTAAGGCTCCGTAACCAAAAAATGCTTTACCCCACAGACATGATTCTATTAAGATAATAGCTTCATCATATTTGATGGTCAGATGCACCACCCTCCTTCCTATTATCCCTCAGAACAGTCTTGACTAATTTACGGTCTTCGGAAATCGTTAGTGAATAAATTGATTTAAATATGCATTTCTATACATCTTTGTTGTTGCTGCCATGTTATGTAAGATATAATGAATTCCACGGAATCCAGTGGACACCGACGCAGCTGGACGATTTGGAATTTACAGATAATAGGCTCTAGAAGATATGGAAACTTTTAAATACTTTATCAGTGATGCAGCTCAAGAAGGCGGATGTGATGCAAATTGGAAGACATACACTAGTAAGCCAAGCTCAATATACCTACGGTTCAGGAATATTTGAAACTGAAGACTACGTTCAATCGACACCAAAGTACGGTTTGCAATACAAACGTGAAGGTTATTATTTTGCATGGAGGTGAAACTTGGCGAACCACGGAAACCAGCATTCAAAAGACGCAGGAATTCCAAGAAGGCTGTCCACACAAAATACTCCAGATCTGTCTTCCTGACATCATCAGAAACAACCTGCTGGGAGAGCGGACAGAGCAGCTAAATATAAAGATAGAGAATAAGCTGTAGATGGATAGGACACATTGTGAAAATCAATAAAACCTGTTACATGACAAGTCCTACCCTGGACTCTCAGAGGCAGGGGTGAAAGGGGCAGACCTCAGAATATATTACGTCAAGAACTGGAAGCAGACATGAAAATAGTGAAAAGCGATTGAGAAAAAACTGAAAGGGATAGCCTAGGACAAAAGGAGGCAACAAGTGTAAGTAAAGGCGACCAGTTAACTTTTAACTTTGAATATTTAATAGAAAACAAGTGAAAAGACAAGGAATTACAGAATCCACTTTCAGCAGAGAACTTTGGTTTCAAGCTATCACTACCTACTGAGGGCGGCTGTCATATCGATTTAGTAGCTTCAAAAAACATGTTCCAAGCCCTGTACTAATTAGTGGAGCCTAATAAAATCTAGACCTTATGTGGAAGAAAATTTGTTACTCTTATCATCAATAGACATTCATTTAGATTACAACTAAATACTACTTTCGACACTATCGTTATCTGTCTGAAATTTCGGGTGAAAATGGGCAGTCGTCGCAATGGGTTGGCAGCACAGAATCCTGGAACAGCATTCGGAAGTGATTTGAATTAGTCGAAGCAACTGTACGATAAAATGTCTTTTGGAGAATCAATTTCCACCAGGGTTTGTTATTTCGCGCCTTCTTTCATCTTGGTCTGACCAGTTACAATTACTTGAGGTTCCATTCAGCATTAAATGCCACCTTAATCGCCACTCCTAAGGTGCTCTCTTCTTTAAAAAGTCAGACTGAGTCGATGCTTAACAACATTTTGAGATGGCTGGAGAGTAGCGAGGAGTACTGACCATAAATACTAACTGCCTGCTATTTGGAGTCAAAACCACCCTTCCATTTTCCAGTGGATAATCGATACCGTTTCAGAGGGCGTCCCAGAAATTTGAAAGTAATATGACAGGAATTGTAAGACGAAGGAACCACTCGTTTATATGTCCAACAAAGTTTGAGATTTGAAATACGCCAGCGCAAGTTATAAATATCCAACGCTAAGATTATTTCTTTAGTAGCGGGCCATTGGATAATTCTTTCAAATGGTGAGTTACTTCGGTTTTTTGAAATGTTTTACAATGTTTTGCTATGTGAAGTTGGCCTTAGTTGCTCGAAGTATACAAAAATGTTGAGTAATTGTGAGGTGGCGGTCCTAAACATAAGTTTGCGGAGATTCGAGTACGCAACTACACACTTTGGAGTGGTCGATTAAAGGTTTACATAGGGCATATGTTTTTACCTCATGCCCTACGTAAGTCTCGTCGTCATCAGCATATTAGCTATCTGATATGTTTTCACGTTTCAAGTACCACACCCCAACTGGTCCCAATGTCTTTTTCACGAACTAGTGTAAACTGGTAGGTTTCTTTGCTCTCGCCTGTTGTCATTTCGGTAAAATTCCAGTTACTGATTTCTAATGGGTAGTAGTCTAGCCGCTCCACTGCTTTAGTTGTAGTCAGTTTACAGTTTTTTAGAGAATCAGATCGCATGATTTGAGTTGGTGCGTTTGTCTCAGGGTAATAAGGTTTCTGCGTTCCGAAAGCTACTACATTACTAGGCCGGAGATCATTTGCAATATGGAGAATAATAGGAGAGGTTTATAATGCTAATGATAAGAGGATTTTAGGACTAGACATAAATGAGTTGGTCGATTGTCAGTGAAGATAGTATGAGGGCCGAATTGTAAGGATAAAAGAGGAAACGGCGATGATAATAGGAGAGATGGAGTAAGTTTGTAATCTGAGGAAGCAACAGTGATGATAACAAGCAAGTTTCGAGACATTCATCATGCACAGATGGTTCAAGTTGCAGACAATAATCCTTATGTGAGTACGTGTTTGTTCTCGAAGTTATCTACTGAGATGGCTGTAGTCACTTCGGCTGGAAGAGCACTGGAAATAAGGCCAACCTCTATTTAGAAAAAGTGGGAGCGTACATGCGTGTTTATTTTCTGTTATACGATTTCCACCATTTTTTTTCAAATATTTGTTTTTTGTTTATGATTTTGAACATACTGGTTCAGGATGTCCATTCAAGAATTCTAAGAGCCTTTGGATAGTTGTTCTGAGTATGCCAGTGGGTCGTAAATGTATAGGCTCCAACCATTACGCCTCAGTTTGGGATTTTGATACATCTATTTTAGATCGTGTACTGGAATTCTGGTTCACTCCATACGTGCCAGACAACTTGTATTGTCTGGATCAATGATATTCCATATTCAAAGCTCTATACTTAAGTGAAAATCTTTGGTAGTAAAAAACACTGGTTCTCATTCTTCCAGAGAAAATTGTGTACCTTTGCTTCCCAATTACTGCCTAGGATCCAAGCGCCTTTACTTCATTACTGTCAAGTCTCCATGAATTCGACCTCTTAATCACACCTAAACTACTTCGTACAAGTAACCTGGTATTGTAACTATCATAGCACGGTTTGAATTCAGATTCGTAAACTTGTATTTGGAAATGAAATACTATTAACAGTTCTGATATTCTACTATTCATGACCAGATATCTGTGAAATTGTTAGCAAGTGTTGAATCACTTGCACATGAGCGCTACATGGATAACTGTAGTAATACATACAAATAAAACCTATCAATTCCAATAAATATCTAGCCTCTAACATCTACTTTTACTTCACGTCATTAGTTTCAGCATTAAGTGAGTAGACTTCGGCATCAATATATCAACGTGATTTAAGTGAAACCTCATTCACTGCCACCTGGTTTAGTATAACTGTTCTTTGTCTCATTGTGCAGCTTTTCTCTTCAGTATTACTAATATCCATGGTTTTGTTTGCAATCATGCAAAATCTTACGTTTTCCAAATCGTTCATTTAAATATGTTAATGTCAGATTGGCTATCGTACAATTAGTTATGTAAAAGGCTAGAGGGGACTATACAAAGACATAATAACAGTCTATAACGCTACGAATGATTGAATTCCTTCATGCTCGAGCGGAAAACTTACTCATTAGTTTAAGGCAACTTGAACTGCTGTACTTGTGCAAAGTTCTATGTTGCTGTTGATGATTCGTTCATTATCTTGGATTATATATTACATTGCGTTACCTAATAGCTTTCAATTCTGTTTTACTCAATTCTTTTAACGGCATCAATTTAACATTTTTCCCTTTTAACTCCTGTCGATTTTTTAAAACTGTACAAATGTGAAAAACAACTCGTTAAGATTGTATCTTGTGTCAGGTCCGACCTGGTTATTTTTACTTTTTTCGGTTAATTTTATTAATACTCATGGTTGTATTACATCTGATATGAAATTTTACAATTTCGTCATTTTCTCATCCTGCACCCTTAGTATCACTAATTTTATCTATTTATCCCCTTTTTTCTGTGATACACAATTTCATAAGTTCAGCTGATGTACCAATTAATATGTCATCCTTGTCTTACATTCAACTAATGTTCTGAATCATCTTGTAAGTAGGTTGGACGATCGATATATGACGTGTGTTTGCACAAATAGTTTATATAACAAATCTTTGTATAATGACACTTATTTTCTGTTTCTGTGGATTCTTTATTAACGGTTATTATTTATGCTTTTAGAGTAAAGTCAATCAAGAGCCGTTGGACGATTACAATCCTTTTTCTGATCCTGTCCCAAGTAAGTATTATTAGACTGGTAGATTTTTCAGTTGTTAGGCTCACTGTTGTGCGATACATAGGTCTGATGAGTTCGATTTGTTCTGATGACGTGTTTTAATGTCACTTTTAACCCTTGTCAAAATGATATAAGATTAAAAGTTCACTGAAAATTAAAGCTTTCAAACTATGCTGAGAACAACTTTAATTGATTTCTAGTATTTTTTAGTAATATGTTTCTGAGCACGAGATATTTGATTTGACACATACATTTATATCTCAATTATAATCAATATTATTGTCCAGCCTTCAGCTGTAATCGATTTCTCTGAATAAAATTATTCTGTATGACTGAGGCGGTGCTAAGAAATTCCGTTGGGATGCATTTTTACTCCAAACAAATTTTTAAAGTTGTGAAACGAATGAATAGTTTTTATAAAAACCAATACCGGCAAATTGATCTTTGGTCACAGTAGTTTCAGCTGTTCACTGTAAATTTAATGGTTTCTAGCATATTCACTGTATGTAGCGTATTTGTTCTGTGAAGATTCGGTTTAAATTGTACTGCAGATAGAAGTTGTTGTTAACACCTCATGTTTTTCCCCCTATATTATCATTCATACTCCAGCTCATCTTGTGAAGCTGAAGCACAATGGTCAAAGCATTTGGATTTCAATTAATAGGTCGTTAGTTTGAAAGCTTCAACAGCTAAGTATTGTCTCTAGTCCTCAAACGTAAGGGATACGTGGCTTAAAGTTGAGTTAATAAACCTGTACTTGATAAGGAATATATATAACTCCTAACTAACTTGGCTAGACTAGATGGCAATCCTTATTATTCTGGGGAAATCAACTGTACGAACGATAGTTGTCACAACTGATTTGTACCTATACATCTATACAATAACTAAATGTAACTTTACTGTAAATTCATGTCCCTATTAAATAAGTTATTTACTATCCTTACTGGAGGACTTCCCATCATACACTGGTATTAATCTAAAATCTGAACTTGTATTGTAACTCTGACGTCTAATCTTTTCCATTACCATTAATACAGTAAATCTATCTACCACTCTGGAGTTCGCCTTAACAATTTCAGCTCGCACTAGTGAGGTGTGTCAAATTGAACCAATGTACACATGCGACAGGTCCTAAGTTGCATTTGACTTACTGTTTTGATTGCACTTCCGGTGTTGTGGGTTTGTTCCGACTTTAAGTAATGGTTATGATGCTGATCAAAATATGATATGGTGAACTAGTGGCTGCTTTAAGACTCAATATCATAGTTTGTCTTACTCACTAATAGTACTTAACTGGAAAACAATCGTAAAGCTAAATACTTGACCAAACAGTCACTCTCGAAACGCTCACATACGGCAATGTGTATGTAGTCATTGCCAGGGAAGTCTTACTCACTTCCTTCTCGTGGCACCGGCGTTGTTTACGAGATTGAGAGGGTGAAAAGCGAGTGTTCGGCGTTTCGCGCATCAGTTCGCTCCATCCTACTCTATGCATGTCAAACATAGCCACTAAGAAGTGAAGATACTCGTAAGTTGTTGGTATTTGACCATAGGTGTCTTCGAGGCATTGCTCGTATATCCTGGAACAATCGAGTAAGCAGTTGTGTTATTAGGAAAGGGTTCTAGGTAAGAATGGTATATCAATTGAAGTAATGGATGCTCCTCAGTTGTGGTGATTGGGGCATATGTTACACATGCCTGACCACCGACTACCTCGGTCAGTGATGCCTGGTGTAGGGGTAGGCTGGAAGAAAGCTAGGGGTGGCTAAAAAAGAACATTGCACAAATCTATGACGTCACTGGCAACTGGACTGAGCCATAATAGTAGGTGTAGACTGCCTGGTTGGTGTCCATGAAACAATCGTAACCGATGGTTAGAGACTTTGAATGAAATGGTTCAAAATCGTTAACGTTGGCACAGGTGCATCCACTCTTCACGGGATACCATAAGACTGCATCTCCTGGCGTTGCTCTACTGTTTTCTGGAATAAACCTGTAACTGAAAGGGTTCAGGGAGTGGCCCGTTGCGAAAACCACCTGCTTTGATTTGGTCCTCCAGGCAGTATCTTATCTCACTCACAAATCGATTAATTTGTGTGACGCATAAGTATTTGGGTGTCCTATTTTTACCAATGTTTATGTTCTAGTTTAAAAATTTGTACAAAAAAGCCACATTCATATTCCCCTTTTTTGTTTCGGAAACGAAATACTTCTGATTCATCTATGGCTTGTTAATATTACAGATCTAAAAAATTGGAACCTTATATATTGATCAGTTTTCCATCGCTCTTGACAGTTCTGTTTCCCCTCTTTTTGTTTCTTCCGAAGGATATGAATCTTTTACAACTGAACCTAACGAATCGTCTCCAGATAATCGAAATCAAGGTTATGCTTTTGATGTCCCCCCACCACCAGTACCGCCCATGGAAGTGTATCCGCCGTATTCAAAAGCCGCTGTTGGCGGTGGTAATGAAGGAGTCTTAGCACTGGAGCGTAGGCAAGCGGAACTTGAAGCTCGTGCAGCTGAGTTAGATCGTCGAGAAAAAGAACAACAAGCGCGCATGAATTCAATTCACTCAGGTCCAAGTAAGTTTTATTATATGCATGTGTCTTGTTTTGTTCATTTTATTTAATAAGCATAAAATGTGATACCACAGGTGTTATGATAAGATCGCTAATCTATGTAATGTGTTAAATTTATCAATCGAAATTCCGGTTATAATTTCCTCTATTTCTCTTCTGCTATTCCGTTCACAGCTCAATGTTTTAAACTTGACCAGTTACATTTCTGACCTGTACAGTCAACCAGCGCAAGCTGAGCTTCTGTAGGTCAACTATTCTCAAACTTTTCTTTATCCCGTACTTTCAGCCCAAGAAAAGTCGTTCGCTAGCCTCTGTTATATTACATTTCAAATACATATATCTTCATATACAAACATACTGAACTACGTTGCACCATAAAATGACAGATTACAATTAAACATAAGCAAAGGTGGCTGTTAGTAATAGGCTAGCAACATATTAGGAATGGTAAGTTTTATAACAGTGGGTTAACTGAGAGCTTATAATGGACGGAATATACACACCTAGTAATCCAGCTGCTTAGTGACTATAATTATGCAACGAAAATATAAATGATAACAATTTGAAAACCAGTTTCAGCTTCTAAAATATTCGTCCCGTTATAACAACAGGACATCAAAAGTAGGATGCGCTACGCAAAATAATGGCGATAACATGGTAGAAAAATTATTGGAGAAAAAAGAGTACGACCAGAGAAAAAAGCTAACAAGAATCTGATATGACAGAAGATAACATCCAGTTTGAAAAAAACTAAGAGAAAGAAAGAAGTTGCTTTTATCTCCTGTGTTGTACCATTTCTAAGACCCCAACTAACGAGTTGTAACGAATTGAATTATACCGAGTATGTTAATGAGTAGTTTATTCGATAACTTCCCCGTTTTTTGTCATAGAGTTGATACATTATGTTGTGATTCATTGAGTCGTACTGTTCGACGATATAATATTTGGTTACGATTTCAAACCTTATTTTATTCTCTAAATGTTTATAAAAACTAGAAATTATACTTATCTTCATAGTATAGCTTATGATCAAATGCACACGCATCAACTATAAAAGAGTCAAGCAAATCTAATATACCATGTTTATATGAATACATTAGACAAAATATTAAAAAGTAAGCTGAATGTCTATGAAGTTATATATTAAATACATTAATAAACAAGCATAAACATGAACATAAGATCCTAGTCACTTTGGATTTATTCATCCTTAAGGTCATTTCAAATAAACTCTTGTTTTTCAAGCAACACAAATTACTATAACTCATCTATTATTAATAGAAAAATCGAATAAGGTATACCGAACTATTTCAGTGATATATAAAATAGGTGGTATGTAGCTAGCGGTGGAATTTGGGATGTGCGTTTCGTCCTATTTCGGATTCGTCAGCCGAATGTACCTGTACAAGTGAGTGGCTATCTGAACTCAGTAGCTATGTGGTAAACGTGTGACCTTTTAAGACGAACGTCATTGGATTCTAGTGCCAGAGTAAATACATCAAATTTGTACATGGGACGAAACCCACGGCCTGGATTCCACCTACAATGTGTATGGTTTTTTCGTGACAGTCATATTGAGGCAATACTCACATAACAGCTAAGAACAATCGAATTTCGATCGAACTACCAATAACAGGATCATCCAAAACAATACGAGTTGATTCATGTTTTAATGGTTGTTTGAATCTTCCCATTAGTGTTTAGGACTGCAATTGGTCAATCTTTTTGGCATATGTACATCCTGTGCGGATTGCTTCGATGGTGGATATTAGCTAGCAATGGAATTCAGGACGCTTGTTTTGTCTTATTTGGGACTTGAGCTGGGTACATATGCATATCAGAGTTGATGTTCACTCCGGGTCAGTCAGTCAGTCAGACTGACTGTTCACTCCGGGACTCGAACCCAATACCGTTCGTTTCAATTGCCATCGCGTTATCTATGAGGTTACAGGTCAAATCATTTCAAATGTGTATTGTAGTAAAAATAAAAAAAGTGAACCCATTGAAACTCCATAATGTTGAGTTTAGATTTGGATGTGTTAAGCAATAGAAACTCTTCAAAATATTAATTTCGTTTTTTCTTTGCAATCCGTAAGGCAATATTTAAATTTACAGATATACATCAGCCCAAAATCACACAACCCTCATTTATTGTCTGCAATGGATAACTGTTGCACGCTCGATACGGTTGAACTCCACTGGTCGCGACTTCTTACTAGAACTGTGAGAATCCCCCTCAAAGCTAGTCACCTATGAGCACATGATAATTATCAGTATAGGAGTTGTAGAGATTGTTAAGTTTCACTGCTAAGAAGTGCCATACGAGGATGAAATGGTCATCCAGTGTTTCCAGGTTTTTACTGATGGTCTAACATTGATCGGTTAATTATTTCAGTGATACTCAACAATCTCTACAACCCTATGCTTATAAAAAATACATATATTTTAATAAAAACGGAGTGAATAAATCTACTTTATTATGGCAACTGATTCTCAACCATTTCATCCAACGTCTTTGACAATTGGGTTATGATAGTCTCACAGATAGCAATCAAGTAGTATGCACCTACTTTCACAATTCATTCAGTTCAACAAGTTAGTAACTTTATGAACTGATTCTGTATTATCACTTGCCCCTTTTAGCTTTTTCTTCAAACCTAGTCCAACTTCAATTAATCTATTTAGATGTAAAGCTTTGTTCTGTTTAGTATAAAATTCAACTTGTCTGTATAGATTCATATTTATTTGATTTCATTCATTCCTAAACTTATGGAACTTTAAAATGTTTTGTTATTAAGTGAGTATTTCTGATCAAAATTGTACAATTTATCTGTGTGTTTCTCTATAATTACTCTCTCTCTCTCTCTCCCCCACTCGATCCTGTTGTGTATTCTTTTCACTCTATATCTATTTCATCTTTCATAGACACAAACTGTGTATCATTTACATTATTTCTAAAAATACCTTCCTACTTACTATAAGTTAATTACATACATTTGTATGACTAACAATTATACAAGTATGTATACATATAAATATATATATGTATATATTCATCACAAATGAAGAAGAAACATTTGATGAAAAGAGGTTTTTTTTCTCTCTCATTAATTATCACATGTTATTTATGTATAAATATACTTTACATAAGCGTAATCTAATCTCTCTGTGAATGCTTACTTTAGCATTTTGATGCACACAATCAATTACACGGTATATATACACACACACACTGTTAAATCAATTTACAATAAACACTATCAATGAGTTAATGGAATTTATTTTGTTAAACTACTATTATTAACTGTAAATTTTGATGTGACACATGAAATTTTCTTGATTTAAGTAAATTGAATCGAATAGAAATTAAGTAGTTATGTTAATTTGTCTACCTTTAATAAAACCGCAAAAATCAACAAAATTTTCCTTATGGTTGAGATGAGAAAAGGTTTTCTCATCTCAATCGAATGGATGGTTGTATAGTTTGATTAATATACTGGTAAAGTGTATACTCCTCATGTTTCAGCCAATTGAATTAAAGTTTAATGGAGCAATGTAACTGTTGTCAGTCGAAAACTCACTTCAAAATATGCTTGATCTAGTTGATGATCTACATTCTGAACTATAAGTCATTCGACATTTTTTCCGTCACTAAACTTCTACTTGTAGTAGTAACAAATAACATAACTTCACAATTTGATTGATTATCGATTAGATAACAATTTGATGTTTATTTAGTCTATTAGTGCTGGTCAAATTTTATCAACCAAGTAAGTAATTTCTCAACAGTGCTTGCATCAAGTTGAGATGTTAGGTAGTTGATAGTAATCGATAAGGGACCTTGCTTGACTCCAGTTTCGTGCTAGTTAGCACTTGTCATCAAGGCGTACCTTCAGTATTGAAAGGAGTAGTGTTTCCCCAAACACTTGTCCTTTGGGCTCTTCAGTCACGCTCCCAGGTCACGCAGACCAACGCTAATCCAACTCCCTTTTCAGGTACCTCAAGAAACACCCTTCTACAGTGTGAGCAACAGGGAAGTGACATCCGCCCTCATACCCTTAACAACACACGAAACCAACATGGTTGCAATTAAATCCTTCCTGGACTCCTTAACAGTCCTTTTATCTCCACTACTAGCCCTTCTCACATTCCTTTATCACCCCGCACCGCTAATGCAAACGATTGGAGGTCACCAAACGTTATTCCTAGTCTCCTAAAACCCCGTTCTAAACTACATGTTGGAGCTTTCAATGTTCAAACCTTGCGTCAAATAGGGCAACTGGCTTCTTTGGTTGGACTCTGGAATACTGCGCCATCGATGTATGCTGCGTCTCCGAAACACGCATACATGATCTGAGTACGATTATTAATTTAATTTCGTCTTGTCCAGATAAAGAACTCGCCGTTGCCTATTCATTGTCTCTGCCTCCGCTCCCACTGTTTGCAGCTCAGATGAGGTAAAATATCAGTTTTACAAAAAGCTTTCCAACCTTCTTCAAAAGTTAGGCGCTCTGATGTAGTAATAGTGGCCGGTGACCAATGCTCACGTAAGTAGACTGAGCGAAACGGAAGGACACGTTGGTGGATCTATGGTGTCGTGGCTGGTCGAACAGATTATGGCGACAGTGCTGCAACTGTGCGCAGATAACCACCTATTTCTGGCAAATACCAACTTTAAACATAAAGATAAACATCTTTCGACGTGGTGATCTCCCCAAATCGACCCAACGTTGGACTCAACTAGACTACATCGCAGTCAGCCACCGATGGAGAAGTTTGATCGAAAACTGTCACTCATTCTGGAGTACATGTTTAGATTCAGATCATGCTCTAGTTCGAGCACGCATTTGTTTGTAACGCGGCTAGGAAATCCCTTATAGTTCTACTTAATGATAGCGAAGCCAAGAGTATGTTTCAGTAGCAACTAAAAAAGCAGTTAGGCAGTCATGTAAGTAATGTCCACTCAGAGGCAGCTTGGAATGATATCAAAAAAGTTGTGGAAG